GTTCTCTTTTTCGTCCGGCAAATGGGCTTGTCCGAGTAAATCGGCCCACATACTCGCTGAAGCTTGCCCTGGGCGTCCTTCTGACATATGCAAACCATTAAATAGAGCTGAAAGGAATATGGAAATAAAGGAGAAGTTAATTAATAAGATTGAAACCTGTATGCCTTCCCTGACTTTGACTCACTTCTTCATCAGCCTCCTTCTCATATTTATCTGCAGTATTTTCCACGCATCGTCCGTCTAGGGAACGACTGTCTAGCTGGCTCTTTCTCTTTCATCTTCCAGTTCAAAGACTATGCGGATTATTTCTTGAGGTAGTTTATCATACGGGTTTGTTATTATCCCGGGGTTTGCTTTTATTTCGTTCAACAGCTCAGATATGTGGTATTCTAGCTGAAGATCATTTTCTATCGAAGAATTTCCCATCCCATCCTCTTCTAGCATTTCTTTAAATAACAACCGTTGTTCAGTTATAATTATTTAATTTTTCAATTTACTTAAGACCCACACGTCTTTACTCCACACCATACAATTATAAACTGATATTTCGCACCGAGCGTACCTAAAAAGAAATATGCTCGACTTCCGAAGTGGCATTTTTTGATAGCACAGTTTTGATAGCACAGAGCAATTGGCAAGACAGGATCGGGGCGCTCTTTTCGTGTGGAGCTTTTTGTAATTGGTTCCTTACCACTGCTTTTAATAGATTCCTACAACATATATATATATATATATATATATATATATATATATATATATATATATATATATATATATATATATATATATATATATATATATATATATATGTTGTAGGAATCTATTAAAAGCAGTGGTAAGGAACCAATTACAACAAGTAAAAAAGCTAAAGTCGGGTGTCCCGACTTTGAAATACTCTGTACATATGTTTACAATAATTATAGAAAATAAAAAAAAAAAGAAAAACAAATTGGATCGATTTTACCTCTCTCGGTATTCGAACTCACGTAAAGGGTGTATAATTGCACATTTACATAGCAATTGCGTCTGTGTGAGTGTATGTATGCCTATGCGCATCAATTCGTGTCTGTGTAAGCATTTTCGCAGTCAACCAAACAGCAACATCAACAACAGCCGCGGGCAGCGCTTGAGCAGCGCTGCATCAGCAAATATATTAATGGCTATAACTTCTTGTTAAATCGGTCTATCATAATGAAACTTGGCATACGGACACATAATACCCAACTGGGGGTATTTCCAAAATTTTAGTTCGAAATTCCAAGAATTACGGGAGTTACGATTTGCGGGGTAGAGGGGGGAGGGAGGGGAATTCCAAAATATACATTTTCTGCGTATTCACATAAGGCATCGGGGACTAAATTTGGTGTTCCTAGGTCTTATAGTCTCCGAGATATAGGCGATTATACGAATGGAAAATCGGGAAAACCCCCATAGGGGGGAAGTGCGGGGGAAAATCAAAAAAATAAAACAAACTCGTATAGAATACACACACAACGCATCTTTGTGCAAAATTTGGTGTCTCTAGCTCTTATAGTCTCTGAGATCCAGGTGTTCATACGGACGGACAGACGGACAGACTGACAGACGGACAGACGGACAGACAGACAGACAGGGCTAGATCGACTCGTCTCGTCATGCTGATCAAGAATATATATACTTTGTGGGGTCTGCCTCGCCTCCTTCTGCCTGTTCCATTTTTCAGCTCCCGCAAACCTAATATACTTCTGTACATTTCATGTACAGAGTATAAAAAGCTCCACACGAAAAGAGCGCCCCGATCCTGTCTTGCCAATTGCTCTGTGCTATCAAAACTGTGCTATATATATATATATATATATAATATTCCCTGGCGCGTGGATCAGAACCAACTTGCTTGCCGGCAAAAAGGCCATACATACTCTTATACACATACATAGATACATATCGTATATGCTCGTATACTTTACATGAGCAATATAGCGACTCTCTGGAAGCTCGCAAACATGTTTTGTTCGGTTTCAAGCCACCTTCTGCTGCTGATAAGGCAGGAATTAGGAATATCCGAATAATGTAGCAAGAAATGTCCTTCACCTATTAGATACCTATTATAATAAATCAGTCATGAGAAAACGATGTAGAAAGTTCTTTTAAATTGATTTTAATTGCTGGCATGTTTTTTCATACGATATTTTTGGTAGGCATAAAAAAGTGTTGATATGACTGTTCCCCGTAATCCCTTTATTTATCAGCAGTTGATAAGGGGAATTGGTATAGAACCAGATAAAACCTCGTGGTTCTAGACCTTAAACGTACCAATCATATCAATAGAGGTTGGGAACCACGCTTTGAGTCTTTATATATGCTGAAGCATATAAAGTATATATAGTATATTATTGATCAGGATGACAAGACGAGTCGATATACATAGACATGTCCGTCTGTCTGTCCCCCTGTCCGTACGAACGCAAGGATCTCGGAAAGTATAGGAGCTAGAACAACCAAACATGGTATCCAGGCTCTCCTAAGCCCGAGAAAGGACAAGTTTGTTAACTCCCCCGCAATTCGTGTTTTTCCATAACTCCCGTAATTCCTGGAATTTTGTACTCAAATTTAATAGTCATCCAGTCAGTGATTGTGTGTCCGTATGCCAAGTTTCATTATGATAGGTCAGTTATAAAGATAGTCCAAGTAGCCATAAATATAACCTCTGCCCACGGCTGTTGTAGTTGCTGCTTGTAATGCACACATACATATGTATGTACAAGTACATAAACACGCATAAACACGATTATGATATAAATGTATGCTGTTGACTATGGCATTCCTTTCTTGTTTCGTTTTAAAATTGGCGACACTAACCGTATTGAACTGCACAAGGGCTGTAAGAAACATGGACTTTTTGACATCTCACCGATACTAAGGTAACAACATCTAGAACTAATGACAGACATCAATGTTGTGTATTCTATTGACAACCCTAAACTGTAAAATTTGGCGAAATTATCGAACCATTTTGAAATGGAATACAACATTTGATTGCTTTTGAAACAACATAAATTAAACGTTATTATAATTTCACAAACTGAATCAAATTGAAAATTAATCATCTTATGATTAAAATATTGCGTTATAAAAATCTTATAATTTACCTAAAATATCATAAATAATAAAAAAAAATTTGTAAATATAATGTCGCTCTTTTGAGTGAGTATTTATGTGTGTGTAAATTTTTTTAGCAGTCAGCAATTGTAAATTATTGAATTATTTAACTGATTTCATTTAGCATTTACACTAAAAAAAACTGTAAAAACGCCACAATAAGATATGTACATATGTATGTAGGTACGAGCACCGAATAACGGATTTGCGCAATACTATTTTTTTGTACCTAATTTATAATTCTAGTTCAGCTAAGTTTAGTTCTTTTTATTTTTTCGTTTCTCCGCTTTTCAAAACAATTGGGACAAAACTTTATGCATATGTACACACTATTCACAATTGCGCTTCATTCTTCAATCTTCTGCGCATTTGTTCCTTCATACAAAAATACACACACACATGCACATGAAACCGGCGCCGTTTAGGGATGTAAGTCGAAGGGAAAACATCGATGTCGATGCCCATCGATGCATCCATTAAAAAAAAATTACTTTTCATAGAAATAGAGGGTCATATTAGTGAAAAAATCAACAGAGACTTTTTAAAATTTCATTGTATTTTACTTAATGTTATTGACTAATAAAGTAATCGTACTCCTGATTTTTTATGAACTTGTGTAATTTACTAAAAAATAAACGTATTAATTTTAAAAACAAATCAGAATATTAGTGTGGCTATACTCATAATTTGAAAAATATTACATTCAAATAAAATTTAATGCTTAATAATCTAAAATATATTAGACAAAATACATATGCAACAAAACAAATATACCTTCTGCGGTAGACCATACCGCCCAACAAACCATGAAAAATGTTCGATGTTTGTACAAACATCGATGGATCGACGATGCATCGCGTGCCAAAAAACAAGTAAAAAAGCAAAATTCGTGTGTCCCGACTTGTAAATACTCTGTACATATGTTTACAATAATTATAAAAAATATAAAAAAATGTTGGTCGATTTTACTTCTCTTGGTATTCGAACTCACGTAAATGGTGTATAATTGCACATATACAAAGCAATTGCGTGTATGAGAGTGTATGAATGCCTATGCGCATCTATTCGTGCCTGTGTCATGTGTAAACATGTTTGCAGTCAACCAAACATCAACAACAGCTGCGGGCAGCGCTTGAGCAGCAAATATATTTATGGCTATAAGTTCTTGTTAAATCGGTCTATCATAGTGAAATTTGGCATACGGACATAATAACTATTTGCAAATTTTGAGTTCGAAATTCCTAGAAATACGGTAGTTAGAGCAAATCGCGATTTGCTTTGGTGAGAAGGGAGGGAGGGAAATTCCAAAATACACATTTTCTGCGCATTCACATAAGGCATCTTGGACTAAAATTTGGTGTTCCTATAGTATACATATATAGTTATAGTCTCCGAGATATAGGCGATTGTACGAATGGAAAATCGGGAAAACCCCCATAGGGGGGAAGTGGGGGGGATCAAAAAAAATAAAACAAACTCATATAGCGTACACACATAAGGCATCTTTGTGAAAAAATTTGGTGTCTATCTCTTATAGACTCTGAGATCCAGGTGTTCATACGGACGGACAGACAGGGCTAGATCGATCTTGTGACGCTGATCAAGAATATATATACTTTGTGGGGTCTGCCACGCCTCCTTCTGCCTGTTACAATTTTCAGCTCCCGCAAACCTATTACACTCTTGTACATTTCATGTACAGAGTATAAAAATATCCGCGCATCGTGCTAAAAATATCGTTGATCATCGATACATCGATGTTTTTTTACATCGCCGCTGTTGTCTGTCATTTCATTCTCAGCTTTTGTGGCGTTAAGGTATTCAGTGCTTCGGCTTGGCTTCCAGAGTGTGTACATAAATATTCGATTTCATTTTTAAGTTGTGTTCTGATTTCCAGAACGTGATTTGTCATTGTGGGAAAAATAAAGAAAATAAATCAGCTTAATAATCAGAATAACATAAAATTCAGCTGATTTTGCAAGGTTTGCAGTACATGTGAGTGCGCCTCATCTTACAATTTTGTTCTCTTCGCTTTGCGTTTCTTTTGTCCTAGCGTGCCTATAAAAAGAAAATATTAATTTATATTCTTTAAGCACTTCAAAGGTTTTAGCACAATGCCCAAGAAGAGTAACGGCTTCATGCAATTTGTCCACGAAATGCGTAGGACCCAGTCGGAGTTCCGCAAGCTGAGCTTGGACCAGTCGGTGCATCGTTGCGGCTTGTTGTGGAGGGTACGCGTTCAATGTCGCATTTCAACATTTCAGTTTGTAAGAGTCGATTCTACCATTATATTTTTGCTCCATTCAATTTCCAGGACATGAATGCTCAACAGCGTGGTCCATATAATTCGGCTGCGAAGGATGTGGTTGTGAAGAGTCGTTGCAAAAATGAGCCTCTCAATTGTATTGGCGTGGCCCTTTCTACTGAAGAGCGCTTGAAGAAGGAGGCCGAGGAAGAAATATTGCGCATGAAGCGAAACATTGAACGCATGGTGATGGAAGGCAAAAAACAAAACGGTTAATATTATAACTATTGATTTAGTTGCTCCCATCTAAATTTCTTTCCGTCGCAGATTTGGAGAACACGATGTTTATATTTGTCGCCTTCAATTACTTCACAAAATCCCTTAACTCTGACGTTTACCTGCCGGCTGAGTTCGCCGCATGCGAGTACTCTCTAAAGTCTGGCATGAACAGTGTTTATAACACTCACATAGATCCAGGTAAGTGAACATACATCTAAGCACGAAGTTCCCAAAACGTCAAACCATCTGACCTTTAAGAGTATTAAACTAAAGTTTTATGTTAACAACAACCAAATAGACAAATACATGCCTAAGATGAACGTGTTTTAAAAAGTATATGTGTATAGTATTTATAGTGAAATCATCCTTATTAGAACTTCTCAAATACCTTAAATTCATTATAAGACAGACCACAAATGCAAACTAAAGAGATACTTATGATATCGTATTCCTTTTTTCACAATTTATCCTTTGTTTTTATGTTTTGAATTATATTTTATAACAACGAAAATCATTTATATCGTATGGTTGTATATAAAACCTATTAAAAGCAAATATTTTAAATATTAATAGTGGGAGTTTCCTACTATTATTATGCAGCATACCAGAAAGCTTTAAATGTATTTATGTTGTATAGAGAAGGCGAGGTGAAATAACTATATTTTCAATAATATCTCGGTGTATTGTAAGGATTGTAAACTTTCGATCTTATTTGAAAAATAAACTGACACATATAAGTACATATCTCATATTTGCAAAGAGTATTCAAAGTTGAATTTAATTCATAATATAATCTTTGTCTATATGTGCAGGTGCCCTCATTTTTGGACAGGCGCGTGATGCCATGCAGCACACAACCAGCACTCATCGCTTGCCATTGCCGCCGAGCGCTTTGGGAGAGGCAAATATGGGAAAGCTTTACGAAAATATTCTTGAATATTTACGAACTGTATCACGGAAGGAGAAACCACTAGTAGTGTTCACCACTTCCGAATTAATACCCATAGTCAAGTCCTGTTTTCGGTTTGTGGAGAGCGGCTACGATGGTCCTGAGCAAACAATTGAGATCTACGACATACAATATCTCTTCTATATACTGAAGAAAGAAGTTATGGATGTTGCCGGCATCGTCAATAACACTATTAACAATTTCATAACCGACGCCGAGTTTGAAAAAGACTTCTTTCAATATTCTTCGGGCATTGCCTGCAACGTGAGTATAATGTGCAGTCATTTTTTTTCAACAGAAATTAATAAATGTTTTTTAAAGTTCCATGAGGAATGCGATCGTTGCAACTATTGCACACAGTCAATGGTTATTAGATGGTGCTATATATTCAGCGATTACATGTGCGGTGACTTGGCCATACCTATGATGCCAAATAAGCATATACCGCCCAATGTGGATTTCGGTTTCGAAGTACACTGCCCAGAGGATTCTTCAGCTGCGATTAACGAATCAATGTCATCCTTTTACTCCCTTGATTCTTCACGCGTTAAGAAGGAGAATGGCCATTCGGTTGCGGACACATCGAACGCCAGTTCATATGTTCCTAGAGACCATACTTCGTTCTCGGGCAGCTTAAAATCCCAGGATGATTTTCCGAACTTGAGTTCAAAGAAAAGCAATACGAGTAGCCAGCCCCTTATTAATTCTGTAGACAGCTTCACTGCAAGGACTCCAAAACAGGAGCCAATGAGTGCTTGGAATATGCCGCCCAATGTTTGCGGTGTTGCCGAAGACGAGGACTTTGTCTTGCATCCACGAGGAGCCAAACCCAAGAAAATGTCACGTTTTTAAACAATTATAACAATTGCTTAATTCAATTTAAAACACATTCAGTTGCTAAGCTAGATGTTGTAACAGCACATGATAAGTAAGCGGACTACATTTAGAGTATATTAAGATAAAGAAAATATCTTTAGCAAGAGTAACAAAATATGTAATATGAACTCATTATCATATAACACATTTCATAGAATAGGTATTTGCAAATGAGACAATCATTATTCCAATGGAAAAGGGAAGAGTTTTTTTTTTTAATATTTAAGTTGTATTTGTAAAAGGGTCACAACGAACAGATCTTAAGTTAGAATAAGAACTTTTGTTAATAATCAGAACCAAATAAAATGTACCAATAAAATAAAAATGTACCAAATGACATTTCATGGAACAATAATTTTGAAAACTGTAAGAAAAAATGTTTTTTGTTCACAACTGTATTAAAATAGCGACAGAATTATTGCACAAACAAATTAAATTACAAAAAATAATGATACGATGTAACTTTAGGTATTCAACTATACAATTCTAGGTAAGGCTTTTGTAACAAACTATTGAACCAGCCCTTACGTTTTTGTTTATAATTTTAATTTAAAAACATCCAAATTGAAGCTTAATCTGAAATTCCTCCATAATTATATAAATATGTAGTTTAGATGGAAACATAAATCTTAAACATATATTTTTCTAAGAAACTATTTGTCGAAATTGTTCGGAAAATTTAAATAAAAGTATGCAAACAAATATGATATCGTATCTCCGTTTCCCACATATGTATCTTCTATCTGTGACTGTGGGGAAATATAAGTACATCCATACACAAACTCAGCATTTAGGAACATATCGACGATCAATGTGCCCGATGACTGGTTCCAAGACTTGAAGGAAGCATAGCATCTATAGTTCGCCTTCTAAAAATTTCAACAACTGGGTACATATATATATAGCCAAATGTATCTAATTAATACCGTATAGACAATAATATGACACCGGAGAGAATTGCCTAGACCTACTAGAACTCACATGGTATAAATACCAATAATGGAATGCTAGACTCAACTGTTAAATACCCTGGACCAACTCCACAATATTAAAAACAAGTAGAAATTTAAAAAATTAAGAAAGGAAACATTTTTTTGTTTAATAAATTGTACCATCTTTGGTATCCGAACTCGTGTTTAACTGTACATTACCTACGCATATGCATGTTTGTGTGTGTCTGGTGTGCCTATGCAAAGCAGCAAAAACAACAACAGCTGCGGGCAGAGCTTATATTTATGGCTATAATTTTCTTCATAATTGACCTATCATGATGTAAGTTGGCATACAAATACATAATCACTAACGGGATGTAATTACCAAATTTAAGTTCCAAGAATTACGGGAGTTATGAATAATCAGTAATAGCGGGGGAGTGAATCAGAACAAACGTTTGGCAATTCTAGCTTTTGACCCCGCGGAGATCCATTCGTTCATACAGACGGACATGACTATATCCGCTCGTCTTGTCATTCTGATCAAGAATATATGTATGTACATACATATTTATTCATATACCACGCCTCTTTCTGTGTGTAACATATGTATGTACATAAATTCGCATCAACCTTTGGGTACAGGGTACACAAATTAACCTAAACCTAAAAGCAACAATTTCAATTTCTACCATACAGATAAAGTGCTGCATAAGGAAATGCACAAAATCTTAAAGTTCGAAGATTGAATAGATGAGCACATAAAATTAACAAGTATAATGTTTAACAAACACAAATTTTATAAGTTAGGTAAATCATTTGGCAACTGTTTAGAGCTGCGCGTCACCACAGCTAGACTCGCCTCATCCTGCAGCAGAACGAGACGCACAAAGGCTAAATTGAGGAGAAACGATTGTCCCAGTAGCTCGCGATGGTGGCGCTCCTGTTTGGCAAACATGTTACGCAAATGTTCTGGAAACTGCACTTGGGCGCGAAGATTCTGAGTTGCTAGCTTGTTCGGGTGTTCCAGCTCATCGGACTGATCATGTAGATTGTAAAAGGTGCGCATCATGGCAATGATGGTGTCCTCAGATGACACACGTTCCGTGCCTACTAGATGATTAAAAAGACGGGCAGTTAGGAAGCGACGCATGTAAAAGAGATTGGTTTGCGGCTTGTTGGAAAAAGCGCGCGCCATTAGCGCGTAGCTCAGCATTGCCGTCACTTGGGCCTTTTGTATGTTCACATTCTGTTGGTCAATGCTACCCGGATTGCTGCTGGCCTGTGCCATTTGTGGGTTCTCGAGTATGTAACAGTCGGCGACGTGAATCTGATGTGCCACGTAGAGACATCGCTGTGCCAGCTCCGCCAGATGAAGTTTCTTGTCGTTGAGCTCGTGGTGTTGCCAGTGTGTGAGGGTGCAGGGTGAACGTTTGTCGCTGGCCAGCTCTAAGCGTGACCAACTAATACTGGATACGCCAATTCTGACCGCAGTGCTTGAGCTAAGCTGCTGACGCCCTGCTTCGTCCAATGAGGGCGTGATGAAGGGCGCGGTGCGTGCACGTGGCACTATCACTCGCTTTACCGGCAGCTGCAGTAGACTCTTGTAGAACTTGTTCGCCACTTTTAAGCCGAAGCCCTCCACATAAAATATGTCACTAAGCTCCCGCAGTGGTCCATTCCTTGCCTTCCAAGTCTCAAGTTTGTTGGCGCGTGCCTTGGTTATGTCATAGCTGTGGAGTGCAGATTAATCACGATATGTACATATATATTTATACTACCGCACTTACCCCAGCAGTTGATCGGCATCGTTTTCGTTGACAATCTTCAGAATCTGGGACCGTTCCTCGTTTGTGTATTCAGGGAATTGTAGAATTTTGGGCTCATCGGTGCTCTTATCGTTGCTTATTGACGTTCCAAAGCCCTGTGTCGCCATTGTCCTCATATAATCTAATTTAATTGAGCGCAGTGCACGCTTAATGTGGTAGCTGAACATAATTTTAAAGTATTTTGAAATGTTTTAGCAAACTTGGTTCATTGTTTGGTTCCCGGCATTGCATAGTTTGTGTAGGTGTAACCCCATTATCTTAATATAAAAATTAAAATTTCGCTGACAGCTGATAGTGTTGCAATCTTTTTATAACGGGCTGGCAACGCCACTTGTCGACACCGTAGCGTTTCTTTAGTATCAGCTGTTTGGGCAATTTATCTTGCTCTGCAGTTCCAATTGGAAAGTTGTGGCGGGCGGTATGCGTTTCGGCGTCTCGCTGACACAAAAACAATAGAATTCGTGCCCCCTATAGTTTAATTCAATTAAAACGACAGTTTTTTGTTTATTGAGGGAATTTAGGCGTTTGCCAAATAAATAAAGTGGTGTCAAAAGTGCACTTATTCACACACAGATGATTGTTTGTGTGTGTGTGTGTGTGCGTGTGAGAGAGTTAAGCACAAAAATGCAAAAGAGGCAGTAAATTGCAACATATTTATGTACATCTGTTCATATGTATTTATGTGTGTATTTATCTCAATATACCGTTTTCGGTGCGTAAAAAGTGAAATTGTGTGTGAAGAGTGAAAGAGAAACCGAACGAACTGTCAAGTGGTAGGCAAGCAGAAAGAAGAAGAGGAAGAGGTGCAACAACAGCAGCAGCATAAGAAAAGCGAAAGCAGAAGAGCTGTTGTAAATAGTGCGGGTGTGCTTGTGCGTGTGCGTTGGTGTAACGGCACTTTCAATACATTTATTACAAAGGGGGGAAGCACGAAAAAGCAATAACAGTTACAACAACACGTAAGCTATTTACAATGAGCAACAACTATAACAACAGTCACACCAACAACAACTCCCATAGATATGCAAACAACAACATGCAAGCATGGAAATATGAAAGGCATCACAGCAATAGCAACAACAACAATAGGCCTAGCATGGACGATTCAATTTTGCACACACATGCTAATTCCGCACGTACATCGCCGCTCTCCTCGCCCCTCTCCGGACCGCAGTTGATCAAAAGCAACAGTTACAGCGGCACCGTGGCAGATTCTGTCCTGGAAAGCACATACAAGAGCGGCAGCAAAAGCCATTGCGGTGTTATTGGCAGCACAATTGTCATGGATCAGGAAACAAATTTCAATGCCATCGAGGCCAACAAAATCAACGCCGCAGCCGCCGCCGGCAGTGCCAGTGCAGTGAACGTTAATGAAGATAGTAATGAGTACGACACCTTTCTCATAAATACGACCACCATCACCACCACCACCAACGGCAGTGCCAGCGGTGCAGTCGGCAGCACGCGACGCAGCACCCGCTCGTACTCGCCGAGCAGCAAGCTGCGGAACTCCTGCTGGATGCGCACGCACGCTTTCATCACCCGCAATTGGTATCTCAGCTACCTGCTGCCCATCTCCATACTGGCTGCCCTGCTCGTCGTCGCGTATCTGACACGCGACTATGCCAAGCAGCTGCTATTCTGGATTGAGATGCAGAGCGCGTGGCTCATCTTCATCATATTCATGGCGCTCTTCATACTCGTCAGCTTCCCGATTGTCGTCGGCTATTTTGTTCTGCTGATAACTGCCGGATATTTGTTTGGTTGCTGGAAGGGTTGGTTCACTGTGATATTGGGCGCCAATATTGGCATCGCTGTGGCGCATTTAGTGATAAGAAGCTGTCGACATCGAATACCCGTACAAAAGTGAGTAAAAGCTACTATTTCATCATGTATTTATCGAATAAATGAATTAGGTAATTAAATATTAGCTGTCGACAAAGGTATCAAAGGTAAAGCTAAGAAGGTATCTTCGTCTGCCCCCCTCTTCGTCCTTACCATAACAGTTAGTTCTCCGAGATCATGGCCGCAAACTTTAAACCGTACTGTGTCCGTATTAGATTGTGTGAGCAATGCAATGTAATCGGGTATAACAACAACAATCTAGATGTGCAATATCTTCTTCTACCAAAGCTCTCCAAATTATATTGCTTAATGGTCGGTCTTAACATAATATCTGGAATTAACGCGGTAGCTCCAAAGTAAAGTACGGGTAGTTCGATGTTTTCTTTATCTTTCACAAAGCTATGAAGGGGGGAGTTTGATAAAAAAAAAAATCACTTCAAAATGTTTATTATCGTTTGCACATTAAAGCTAATGGTAACAGTATTTAGGAAATGCAAACTGTACTTGTAAGCAAAAGAAAATTGCAGTACATTTTTCCCATATGTATGTAGCCAAGTTCTCGCAGAGATTTTGACAAGCTATTCGGGAAGAGAAATGCTGTAACTGGTAAATAATTCAATAGACATTGTTTTGTTTTACAAGTACATTAAGTCCCTAAATTTGAATTTTCTTCTCCTGTTATTGGATGTTTTGTTTGAGCTTAGTTTCTAACATCATTAAGTTAAAAGATCATTTATGTGCAAAATGTTTCGTTCAGTTCGAAATTTCAAGTGTCAGGTGTCATGGGTCAGGTTTCTTTGGCCACAATGTCGACGCGCCCGAATGTCAATGCTCAGTGCTGCCCTAACGAAGCTCATGGGGATCTCTCAGGGAAAATCGTTAGCGGAGAGAATATCTGCGGACATCACATCAAAATACAGACTGGCCGATTATCCGACAGACGACGATGAACCAGCTCAAGCCCTCCTTCCTCAGGAGATCAGTTTTCATCGTGCTCTAATTATGCGTGACTTGAATAGTCACCGGCGTCCAGGTATCCGGCAAATGCTTAAAGTATATTCCCATGTCCTGGTCATAGCTGGCGCCAATGCCATCAAGGGACTTCCCTTTCAACAGCACAGTGATTTCCTCTATCTTTGCGACTGTTTGCGACCCGGCGTAGTGTTAATGTTGGTCCAGAGCCGAAAGATGGAACGCTACACAGTACTCTTTTTGCCGGAACAGTCTCCGCCCTTGAGCCCGGAGCAGAAGCAACAGCTGTGCCGGCAGCACAACGTCAATAAAGTCGCATCGTTGGCAGAATTCAAGCATGAGCTCACGCATTGGGTTCACGATCTGGACGCTGAATTGTGGCATCAAAAGGCAGTGAATAGCAAGGTCAGCGAAACGGTTGCCCTAGTGGCCGATGAGCTTCGAAAGTCCGTATCGAATCCACAGCATGTGCTGAAATTCACACGAGCCTTTAAAACCAATCGAGAGTTGGACACGATTCGACGGGTCAATCGAATTGCTGCTCAGTCGCTAATGGAGGTGATAAGGCAGCACGGCCCTTATCATCTGGACCACCAATTGGCTGCTCTCTTTGCCTACAAATGCCAACGGCGCTTCGCCCACACCCCACCCTATCCAGCCAAAGTGGTTGGTGTTCCGAATAGCAATGGCAAAGGCGTCTGGATGATGGAAGCTGCCTGTAAATATGCCGGCTATACCGGCAGTTTGGCCCGCACTTGGCCCGTTAATGGAAAATTCAGTCAGTCACAAATGCTTTTGTATGAGATGTTGGTGGAGCTGCGCAAGGAGCTGTGCGATCTCATCCGGCAAGGCACTGTGGTGCAGACTCCCCTTCATTTGCACGCCGCCTATCTCAACGCTCTGGCCGGAAAACTACGCGAACTACATCTGCTAAGCGGTGATGTGGTTACACCGGCTCAGGGAATGACCGCCGCCAAGCGGTTCAATTGCTCGCCCATTGTGGTGAAGCATCTGGGCTTGGATGTGTGTGATATGTGCACAGAATTGCTAAATTATCCATTCCTGCCGGGAAACGTCATCACACTGCAGTTATCCATTTCTGTGCCCAAAGATTGCTGCCAGGCCTTGCCCGAATTCCGGGGACTTATGTGCACTCTGGCCGACAACTTCATCGTCAACGAGTACAATAATCTCGAGATGATCTCCAACGAGTGTGTCAGTCAGCGAGCGGCAGTGGAAGCGGCACGTGCGGAGCCAGAAACGCCAGAGCAGAAGAATTCTGATCCACTTATGCTAGAGGCGGAAAATATAATCATCTTATAGGATGAAATTCAGTATCTGTAGACAGTTTTTCAAAACATTATTTTACTCGTACTGTTAATTGGTGAATACTTATAAAAAGTCTTCCATTGGCTTATTAAGTTGAACGTTTTTAAATAACCTGTGTGCCAATCAATTTGTTTTACATTTAACAATATTTGTTGCAGGATATGGGGTCTATATATATCTTTTCAATATTTGTAAATTTGTGAAGATCTTTTAAACATTGATTTCTGAAGAGTAGCGAAAAAGAGCAGATTATTGAAGTAAAGGCAAATACTATACTATATTAATAACTTTAGATGATTACCCTCAAAAAAGTTGTAGATAATTACTCATGATAGCTTTCTGCTTTAAAACAAGTTACAAGTTGTAGTTCCTGGCAATACTTTACTTAGATTCTCAAAATATTTCTCAATAATCATTAATAAAGTTTCTATTTCTTTACCCAATCATTTGTTTTATGAATTATCTCCATTCAAAGAAATCGCCAAAGCCCTATTTTTTATTAAATATTACACACATCCCCGTTCATTATTAGACATTAATTCATTTGCACTTTTTACTCAACACTTGATAAGCTTACTTGTTTATTTAATATTGCGAAATAACAGTGGAGTCAGTCGAGCTTTGAAAACGACTTAAGTTGAATCGCAAAACTTGATAAGCAAACAGACTACAATATAGCATGACATACTTAGTAGTCATCGGTCTACCATTATCTCAACGTCACAAAGTCAAGTTCAGGCGTCTCAGAATTGTTTATTTTAACTGGAGCGCAATGAAAAATGATTGGGGCAGGCATTAAGGTATTATGTATTTGTCATATACACTTATGGACACATGTATGTATATACGAGTATGGCTAATGGAAGTGAGCAACAATGTTTATGGAAAAAAATACCCTGAAAGTGATTTATTATATTACTTCTGTGATTTTATTTTTAACGAGAACAACGTTATAGTCAATCCGGCCGACCGACTCTTGTATGTCCTCCATCTCTGCAACAGCCTAAAACTAACTTGACTAAAACTTTGTTCCATGGCATACAAAACTCATAATTACTTAATTTAGTTACGATATCGTAATAAACAACACAGTTTTTCAGTTTAACGATCGTTCCTACGTCAGCTATCCGATGGATCTTTAGAATATCATAAGGAAATAAATCATAAATACTCGATTAAGATATCTTCATGAACAAAAAGTTATCCCATAAAGAACGAGTTTTCCTCTAATAAGTCATACATATGTGTGCTTTATAAAATAATGAGACACCTACATATATATAGTTTGTAATAAACTTGCTCTACGTATAGATAAGGCAAACCTACATAAGTGTAGTACACCTAGCTGTTATGGCTTAGAAGTTATCGGCAGGCATATATACACATATCAGACATACATATACTTGTAACGTGAGGTATGGTGTTATGACTTCTACTATACCCAATAGTATTGAAATATATCTCAGTTTATATTGAAATTGTCCGTCAGTTTACTAAAATCTGTGTACCATAAAATAAAGCTGTTATAAGAATTAAACATTTTTCTATATACAAGTACTGCGATATCGGAACAACATTGTATTTACAGTTTTCAATAGGGCGTCATTGCACAAGTACTGCGATATCGGAACAACATTGTATTTACAGTTTTCAATAGGGCGTCATTGAGAATACCTCAAGTTTCAGAAAAATCGGTCCACTCCTATAGGAATATTTAATGCAAAAAAAGTTTGTTTTAGTAGAATATGGAAAAAGGGTGGGCACAAAGTATAGTATTCAAGAGTCTGGCTGGCACGACTTTAAAGTTCTGCCCGCAGATCGATTCCGGAAAAGCACCGCTTACGAGTATGTTTCCGAAATGTGGTCTTTTGGGCAGAAAAATGAAAGTAGTTGAATAATTCCGGATGTATTTGTATTTCTTTGAAGTTTATTTTTGCCAAACGAATTATATTGATTGTATTTATTTGTTTATTAATTCTATCCAATTTCGTGATGAACCATAAGTATTTCTTCATTACGTTTCATTTACTTCCATATCAAGGTTTTCCTCCTATGGCCAGTTATTTATGTACACATGTACCTATAACTCTTATCACGCTTCAATTCACTAGTGACTATTTCTTTCACCATGGCGCGTTTTGTTTTATCAGCAACTAAACACAATGGCCCGATCGTTATATACTTATTTATATAGTATACAACTACATATATTGTGTTTCAACAACTGTTGAAACATTTGCGAATGCCTTTTAAAGAGTGATAATTGCATTAAATATTCGTCGTATCTTTGTGCACTTCCTACACTTCAGTACATTCCGTTCCACATATATATGAATATATATGTACATATACTTCCTGAGTTGCTTCAGAAAATAGTTAAATGGGCACGTGGCAACCAAAGAACTTATTGTTACGTTCGATTGAATGGCATTGTTATGTATACATATATTTGTACAATTGTTTAATTGATTGTCAATGAATGGTAGATATTTGAAAATAACTTAGTATGCTTATTTATTAACATCTCTGCTATTTCTAGAAGACTATAGTTCGCGGTAATAGCAATACTAATCATTTTAATCAAAGTTGCCTTAGAAATTGTATTGCTTTAATAGTAAGATATTACTAACTATGAAGGCGTTCCACCAACTAGAGTGTTAGTGCTAAGTTCAAAAGCTTCGACTGCCTAGAAATGATTGGTAGATCCAGCGCAAAAAGTTTTATGGCTACAGCTTTTGTAAATACATACCTGTTGTAAACTTGCGATGCTTGAAACAGTATTACATCAATCATTAATTTTGTATTTGCAATTATAATACTGGAATAGGGTAAATAATATTGAAATGAAACTTAAGTAGAAATTATTGTTAGGTTTTAGGCACACTAGCTCGACTCTTGAATGCTCCGTACCCACTCCAGTCATTCAACTAAAATCAACTTTGGTAAAGCAATCATTTGTATGACAAGCCTACATGCCAAGCTTAGTAGCCCTAGCTGTTATGGAACAGAAGTTAAAGGTGTTCATACGGACGGACAGATGGATGGACAAGCAAGCATATCTCTATAATGATTCAACTCGAGATGCTCATCAACATGGGATTTGTCGTGCCCCTTCTGCCTGTAACATACTTGTACATACAAACCCAGTACTTAGATTTAGGAACAGATTAAATTAACTATATTCCCTATATAAAGAAAACAAGTCTTAAAAGTTCTCATTTAGTGTTCAACTACAAATAGAGCTAATGATAACGAAGTTCGAATGGTGTTCTTGCATTATTTCCATGTTGAATTTACACATAAATTAGTGTGTCTGTATGTGCTCGTACAAGTATGTATCATTGTCAATAAATTCAATGAGTTATCAAGCGTCAACAATTCGACATTAATTATTTATGAACGACAGAACAAATCAAAGAACCAGGTAGTCATTTCGTTCATTGCTTTACTGATTGAATGTAATTGAACTGTGATTAGGTTGACGAAACCATAAACAAATAAATGTTTATGTCTCGTATCGTTTATTATAACAGTTGTTGTTGTTGCTATGATAAACACATAAACACGATTGTAATTATATCATTTATCTTTTCACACATGGAGTTGTTTTTTACTTCGCTTTTGAGTTTTTTGGACATGTGCTGCCACTGTGCTGCTCCATTTGCAAACATTTAATTATCATGTTCTTTTATTTATAGATTAATTAAAAACGAGACTGGACGTGCCATACTGCGCGTGATATCTGGACCAAAGGCATTTAGAGTCGTGCTCTTTACCCGCTTGACGCCCATACCGTTTGGCTTGCAAAATGTGATATTTGGAGTAAGTAACTTAAATTAAACTAAATTAATTGACTCTACTTTGTTATGACGCGGCATGCCTCATAGAAATTTTAATAATCCCAGCGAAAATGATTTGCATTCTTTGATAGAAGTGCAAAATATATGTATGTATATATTCAATATACCTTTATTGAATTGAAAATGTTGAAATACATTTTCTGGATATTAAGGCCAACGTTTTGTCAGGCAATGCGCAAAAAAGGAGTCCCCTTCCGTCCGATCCGTAGAAGGAAGCTTTTCATTGAATCAATTTGCCGTTCGCGCCATCTCTCTAACCATCTATCCGTACACCCTGAATAGCTCTTATGATTGGTCCTCACTTCTTACCTTTATCACTCAATCGTAGCACAATTTGTCAACTTGGTAGCTTTCCACTAGGATATTATGCCTTTGATAGAAACCAATTCTTAAATTGTATTTGCTTCAATCAAGTCCCTATTTTACTCCAATGTTACTGATTTAAATACAAAGGTAAAAAAAACTTTTATGTATGGGCTTAATCCGCTTTTTTAAAATACCTTCTGTCAAATGTCAATAAATAAACTTGGGACAAAATGTTCGCGGCCACGGATATCTTACTGCATTTGTATGTCCAATGATTCAGTGCGACAAATAATTGAGCCTTTGTTTAACGATAATCGAATGAAAAATAAGAGTAAGCTTTTCAACAAAGGCAAACCCACAACTTTATAAAGATTTGCAAGGCTTGGCCAAGCAAGGTGGTGTAAAAACTGCTGGCCAGATACGGGTACTACGATTTTAATGTTCCAGTAATCCGCAAAAAACCTATAACAGTGCCAAGACTTTTTTCAAAGTCTGAAGATTCAATTCCATAGAGTACAGATTCTAAAGGACATAAGTTAAGCTTTTATTGAGAGTACGATGGAAAAAACGTTAGTACCTTCAGATTTGAAACGATAATTTGCTTGAAGATTGTCGAAGAATCAGCCATACAGTCTAATTCCCAGTTTTTTCAAGATATTGCTATTGATATTGATATTGACTCTAATATTGAACCAATCGTTTCGGAAGCACAAAATTAAATAAAAGCTATCTTAAAGAGGCGCTGAAGCTTGAATGGATAAGTTGTCAATAAAGACTTTCATACAAAATATTGAAACAAAAATATTTTTATAAAAAGTGACCTTAGAATATACAGTATTTTTAGTTTTGTTAATTTTTAGCTAATAAATGAAATTGTAGAAGTCGTGAATTTTTCAATAGTACCATTATTATTTTCATTTTTGAGATCATAAAAGGTTCTTTGTTAAAGTCCTCTAAAGTCTAGAATATACACTGCATTAAATAAGCTATAAGCCACTGTAAGCATATGCGTTCAATGACCTTTTTATTATAAGTATATATACTATATGTATACAAAATTGTGCATATGTTCAATACTGATCTGATGAATGAACGAGCGAGTGGCAGACGGCGAGGTACTGATATATACATATTTATATTCAATATATTGGAATTAATATGGCATGGAAATGAATATTTCCTTTGAGGTATTCTTCAGCTTTACTATTTAAGATATTTTATTATTATACAGATTTTTAATTTCTAAATATTTTAAAACTATATTTGTGTTTCTTTTTAAGTTCTTATATTTTAATAGTATGTGCCTCAAATTTAATCAATACTTTTGTCTTTGCACATAATTTTAGTTTGCTTTTCATTTATTGTGAATTTCTTATGATATTTAAGATTTTTTTTTGTGAATTTTAGGTATTTTTTTTTTGACACTTTTAATAATTTTATGTTTTGTTCTTCGCTGGCATAGGCTGGGCATATTTTCTGTATATACAAGTAGTATGTATTTATTGTTTTTTTATTTGTTTACCAATTGGAATGCGTCGGTAGATATTTTGACATGTTTTGAATACAAAAACATCACCATGATGAATACAATGCGTACTTTTGTATTTCGTATCAAGTTTTGTTTTGGTTTAAGAGTAGTACCTACAAATGTACAATAACAAATTTGTTGTTGTTATTAACATAAAATTAAGGTATTGTGTGTGTTGTACAAGTGTTTTTTATTATTTAGTTAAAGTGCAACTAAGTCGTTTCATTTACAATAAATATCAAAGTCAAGAGCAAACAAATTGAACTTGAAATTAGAAACTGGTTTGTCTGGCGACAACATTCCAGTTGTGCGAGTTAGAAAGTGAATTAAAATGAAATAAATGAAAACAAATAAACGCGTTTGCTTTATCGTTGTGTTTTTTCAGCTACTAAATGACTAATAAATAATTTAACAAGCGGCCGATAGAAATAAAACTTTCCTACAACAGTTGTTACCAAAATAATTCGTAAATTAATAAGACATTAGAGAGCGCAATTGCATAAATTAGAGTAGTTCAAATATTTAATAAAATATTGTCTATTTAAAGAACACTATTTGTCCCTTTAGTGGATGATTCCATAGAGATGAAATATCAGTTTTCATTCTCATTTAAAATTTCTATGTGAATGCTTCAATTTATCGATAAAGAAACGCGATCACTAATCAAGAAGTAAATGACATTCCCTATTTATCATAAACTATTTGTGAGTCAATTGTTGTTTAGTAGGTAAACCTTATTTAGGTAAACGAATATATGTATAACTAACAAATCACGTGTACATATGGTATACTCGTATATGTATATTTAAAATGTTTCTCTATTCATTCATTTACAGATCAGTTCAATTAATGCACGTGATTATCACGTGGCGACATTTCTCGGCCTGTTGCCTGCCCAGACGATAAACGTATATCTGGGGTCGACGCTGCGTTCCATGCATGAGGTTCTCAATGACCACGATACCAAATTGACGGGCTACATAAGCTTCGTATTTGAGGTAAATAAACTAAATGTTTGCCTTTTAGATTATGCATTATCTAATTGAATTCTGCTTGGGCTTGGACTTGGGCTGTGGGTGTTGCCTTTCGTATTTACTATTTGACTCGATACTAAGTACATACTCTTTGTTTAGTTTTCTAATATATATATATTGATTTATTTGACCTCTAAAAAAAAAGAAACATTGCGTGTCGAATCGCCTTAAAACTTCCCATGCTACTAGCTTTTTTCTGCACAAATGCACAAAATTCGAAGTGTAGAGCTACAAAGTTCAAAGTTTGGTGTACGATTCATATTTTCGACGTTTGGATTGCATGTTGAATGCCGTGTAATTTGGCATTATTCCTCTCTCTCTCTCTCTCTCTCTCTCTCTCTCTGAGCTGACCTTTATACTTAGAATGCAGAAATAATACTTTAAAAATCGGGAGCAGCCATTTGAATGCAATAGTCCACTAAATCAATATTTATATTAAGATACTGACTGGACTCCTTTATTTGAGGCAAACAATAATGTTGCTAAATCAAATTTAATTATAATCAATATAATATAATAATTTATATACATACAAGGGCGTACGTAGCTTTTACCAAAGTGGGGGGCCAAAAAATTAAAATTTTGATTAAATACTGCACGATGCATTTAAAAAATAATTTATGCATATGGTTCACTAAATAATGAGTGTTGTTCGACCACGATGTACCCATTATTGTACCCTAAGCCATTCTTTACAGCCCTAAAAGTATGCTACAGATTTATATTAATAACATTTCTTACACCTGAGAAGAAATGTAATAATTAAGAAATAATATAATTAGTTCGTATTTCAGATGCAATTTTAAACACGATCTTTAGTTTTTTAAGTATAAAACATAAGGTGTATTTCTTATTTTATTTTTAGTTTATTATCAAAGCTTAAGTGAAATGAAAAACCAATTACACTTGTGAGACACAACTATCGTTCTTTGTTCGTTTATTAACTTCTCGATTCATGCGTGAATTACCAATTCGTATCATGATTTCTAAAAGTAGTGAACAAATTAATTAGTGAACAAAAATTTAACAGCCTTAAATTGGTTAATAATAAAAAAACAAGTAAACTGAAACTTTTAACAAATAGTTCAAACAGCGCGTGTTTCAAATTTCGAGAAATTTATGTAAGACCCATTTCTAGCCATTTATCTTCTATTATTTTGTTGATAAATATCATGCTTCAATTTTATATCTATATCATTTAACTAAAATACTTCTTTTTTTTCAGGTTATCTGCGGCGTTGGACTGATGTTTTGGGTTGTTCAAAAGGCACGCAAAGAGCTCTCGGAAACACTGCTCACTGACTATGGCAACGATGGAAAGCACCTGGATATGCAAGTTTAGCGGGTTTTCGAAATAGGAAGCGTATCTGTCGATGCCATGATAATTAAGATGCAAGACTGCGTTATGCTCTCGATATGTTGTTTAAATTATCAAGTTTGTTTTTATTTAAAATTGAACGCAAATGTTTCTTTACTTCAATTGCATTTTAAGGTTAGAGGCAAGTGTCTGTAGGTTGATTAATTATAGTTCAGATATACATATATATAAAATAATTAGCATTTAAAGATTACTAAATTATTTACGTAGATTCTTCGCCAGTTTCAAGAAGATAGTATTGTTGTAATGAATATGCAATTGCAAATGTATAAAAAAAATGTCCTAAAACATACCAAAAATTCAAGAATTGTAAACTAATTTTAACTAATTTATTCGGAACTGTACATATACATATGTAGTTATATCGAGCAGTAATCGTTTAGTTAATTATTATTTAAAAACAGACTCTCTCAAATGAAATTGCTGTGCCTAAAAATATATATACAAAACCATATATTTACAATTAAATCTTAAGTTTAAAATATGCTCAAAATATTTACAGAAGCACACAACGCAATATTTTGCTCACAATTTCCTGCTCAGATATACATGCGCGTGCTCTTTACCTCTCTAGAAGGTACAAAATCCATTGTCTTTACATACAAGTACATACTGATATAGAAACTAGCTTATCCGTAATAAAAAAAAATAACTTTTTAAAATTAATTACACCTAATTATTTGTACATGTCGTGGGGCTTTCCAAAGAATTCGATGTTTTAAAGGCCATTTGCTCTCCAGCTACGTGGTCTTTTCTTCATGTGCTGGTCAAAAACTGTTTCCAATGTGTTTAAAGTAAAGTCCACATCCTCATAGCCTATGCACATGGGGGGCCGGAAGCTAAACACCTAAATGGGGATGGGATTATTTATCATTATATTCTTTAAACATTCAAGGTGTGTATATTATTTATATTTGAATTCGATTTTATTCGATGCATACATACTTGAATTTAAAAATGTTACGCATGATCATGAATAAGGTGCCCAAAAGTTGTTAGGATATACATAAGTATATTTTGTATAGAGGAAATGTGCCACTAAAAAATGTATACCGATTTTATAACATTTTTATCAGCTACTTTTATTATTTAAATGATGTATACATTACTATAATATAAATGCAATTATAATCTGGTTTTCAACGACTTATGCTATCTCTTCTCAGACAGGCAAAAAGTTTGCGCACAAATTTATACAAAAGTTGATTTTTATTTCAAATTATTCTCTATAAATTTGCAATAAAAGTGAAGCTTGGTTTCGTTTTAAGTAAACCTACTTTAATTAAATGGATTGGCAACATTTTTTAAAGAGGAAAACATGTAATATTTTTAGAAAACTTATCAACTTCAAAAATCGAGTTGAAATAAATATAAACTGCGTGCTAGAACACCATGTGATGGGCTTTGTAAAAATGTAGCTATCTATAAAATAATGCCTTGTTCATACCACATAACATTATAAACTAATTATATATATTGTTTATATATGTATATGCGTAAAGTTTAATCAATTTTAATTCATAAAACTATTTGATGAGCTGAACAAGGCATAGCAGTGATTTAGCAGGAACTTAGCTCCTATAAATGCATTATCAGTTTCAAAGAATCTTGAGTAAGATTGTTTGTGACAATCAGTGTAAGCAGCACATGCTGATCAGTCCGATAGATTTCGCTCCAAATCGTATACTACAGATACATATGTATGTACGAGTATATTTATGTATGCGAGTATGCAGTTAGTTTTCGGTTTTCAGTGTTCAGTTTTTCAGTTTTGTTTGGCGAATGTTTTCGTTATGGCGGACTCGAGCACATCGACGGCAAACTTAGCATCCGATTTAGTAATGCACATGGGCGGTTTGATGCGCAGCACCTGAAAAATTTTGCATGGGCAATGGATAAACATAAACATACGCACACACGGAGAAATAAAAAAAAAAAGAGAGAAATATAGAGGTTAGTAAGGCCTTGTGGGATCACATGCTGCTGGGATAAATGGATAAAGGAGACACAGATACACACACAAACACACATACACCTACACATAACGAAATGATTCCACGTAGAAGACTTGAGACTGGAGTAAAACTTACATTGCCATGCAGGCCACCACGTCCGAAGAGCACGCCCATATCCTTGCAAGTCTCCCAAATGTCCAGCACATGTGGCACAGCCAGCGGTGCCTTTGTCAGTCGATCACTGACCAATTCCACACCCACCATCAGCCCCTTGCCGCGCACATCGCCAACAAGCTCGAAACGCTGCTGCAATTCGGCCAAACACTTGAGGAAATAGGTGCCCACATCGAGCGAGTTCCGCTGCAGCTGCTCCTCCTCGATAACGTCCAGCACAGCCAAGCCCACGGCACTAGCCATGGGATTGCCACCGTACGTATTAAAATGAAGTGCCATGCCCAGCGTGGCGGCAATTTCGGGCGTGGTTACTACAGCGGCCAATGGGAAGCCATTTCCAATGCCCTTGGCCATAGTCACGATATCGGGCACATAGTCGTGTCCCTCAAAGCCCCAGAAATGATTACCGGTCCGGCCAAAGCCCGTCTGCACCTCATCAGCCACAAAGACGCCGCCATTGGCGCGCACAAGTTCAGCGGCACGCTTCAGATATCCTTTCGGGTACTGGACGGTGCCGCCCACACCCTGAATCGATTCGGCAAACATAGCGGCCACCCGACCCCGAGGCAGTGAATACTTAAAGGTCTGCTCCAGTTCGTTGTAGTACTCGACGCCCGCCTGGCACGAATCCTGACACTGGCAACTGCGGCTCGTCTGCACCGGCGAGTCCCGACAAGCATCTCCACCCCAAATGCCCTGATACGGATCTGGATTCATGACGTGCACGATGCCATTGCTAATGCCCGGCAGTGGATAGCGCCATGTGGACTGGGCGGTCAGACCCATGGTATAGGGCGACATGCCGTGATAGGCGTTCCGGAAGGTGATAATGTCCTGATTGCCTGTGTGGAGGCGTGCCATTAACATGGCCAGATCGTTCGCCTCCGAACCGGAATTAACAAAGCAAACGGACTTCAGATTACCGGGAAACTTGGCCACCAATCGCTCGGCATATTCGTGTATCTTCGGATGCATATAGATGTTGGTGGTATGCCATAGGGTTTCGATTTGTTCATTCAATGCCCGATTTACTTTGCTGTGCCGAAATAAATTATGATATGATTGTACAGATATGGAACAGTAGATAATTCAGCACTCCCTATACAGAATATAAAATCAGGAATAATACACTTTGTACTAACTTTAATAATAAGTGCAATTTAATTCAAAACATTCGGGTAAAAAATATATACTATTTGATATTTTTCTTGGTGTTTTCAAAAACTGCTCTGATACCTCAAAGAGTTAAATTTGTTTCGATGAGGAAAATATCTTTGAGGATTAAACTTAATAGGACTATCTTCTCAAATGAAAAACCCATCATAGTAAAAACGATTGTGTTCTTTAAATGATTAATAGCACTATCTTCTCAAATGAAAACCCCATCTTCAATTCCTTCTCATCCAATATACTAGATTGTTGGATTGGGTGCGGGATCTCCATTAATAGTAAAAACGATTGTGTTCTTTAAATGATCCAATTTGTATCAACTATCATTACCACTGAACATTTCTTGAAACTCCCTGATTATATCTCTTTTTTATATTCAATTTTTTGATTTTTTCGACTCGGTTTAGTATTTAAAATACCAAAATATGTTAAAGAATAAAAGATTAATTAAAACTTAGTTTAAAAACAGTTTAATCAGAAATATAAATAGCATAAAAATGAATTTACCCCAAAAAAACGTTGAGCAGTAGTTCGATGGGAAAATAATGGGACTACAATACTGAATAGGTATTTGCTTTTCAAGCTAAGACTCAAGTGCATATTTTAATATATTGCTTGGGTATATTGCAAAACCAGCGATGGTCTGATACAATTCTATATTCTATTGTAGTAATACAAGTAGGATCAGAAAATATTTGCTTGCTTGGATACTAATCATATTCTATCGCAAATGTTTAATTCTGCGAAAATGTCAGATTTTTATATTTATATATTTTCATGCTGCCTCTGATACTTACGGATGACAATGACCCACAGAGACAGTGACAATACCGCCAAACATGTCCAGATAGCGCCGCCCCTCATGATCGTAGAGCCATTGCATGTGGCCGGCATGTATAACGAGCGGCTTCTTGAAATGCGCCACCAGATTGGGCGTCAAATGAGACTTCCTAGTGCTAAGTATTTGTTCGTAGCTGGGACCATTATATGGAGGTGGCTGGTAATTGCATTCCGGCATTTCATTTTGAAGCACCGGCATAGCTACCGGTGCTGCTTTGGAGTGCAATGTCCTTGTGGTACGCAGGTGCTGTGATTGGGATGGACGACATGCTAGACGGGTGGTATTTGCTGAAAAAATTTGGTGTATATATTTTCCATAATTAAAAAAATGTATATTGAAACCCTCTTGATTTTTAAATGCTACTGCATAGTTTTCATGTAATGTCCTCTTAATCGTTCTTAAATCTCTTTGGGGCTTGGCTTTATTGTACTTCTATACTAGCAGCAGGATTTCTAAGGACCATAAAAATCAAATCTATTGTTGGTTTATGTGGTTCGTAAGAAACTACATTCAATTACAATAGTGAATTTAAAGTTTTATGCTATTTTCTTCAATCCAATATTGAGCGAACTACACTATTCGACAAAATATAAACTTTTTTACTTTCTTCTCATTTTTCGAAATCTATCTATCCCATGATATATCCATATCTCCTAAGTTTTAAGCTAAATTTCTTATGAACACTCGTACTTCCAGAGGGGTAAAGAGTATGCTAGAAAGCTTAAATGTAATAGTTAGGAGAGATGTGGCAGATTCCATTTTATAATCATCCGATAACTGTTCAACCATAACTGCTGAAGACACCAAACTAGATTTATATGTAGACTTGTTTTATCCATTAGTATAACAATTTTGTTGATAGACCAATTGTTCTATAAAGCTGCTATCAGTATATAGGAACGATTGTTGAAATTATCATTCTTTTTCGTTTATCTTGGAAAATTTTGGTACACTGTATCATTTGTGAGAAAAAGTTATAGTTGAAGGGCTGTATTGGAGTGAGGGAAAAGCTTCAACATTTTACTTTACACTATCAGTTGCTTGTTATTTCATCTCAAAATATTTCATATTTTATTAAATGTAGATTGCTTATTTTCTTATCGGTTTCAAATTGAATGCAATGAAATATTTTAAATATATAATACATTTAAGCCTAAAAATCATAAGACTATTGTGTGTAGCTGCTATATGTACTTTATTGAATAAAAATATTTCGCTTAAAGCTTAAAATATGAATGTAAGACTCCTCTGTCAAAATATTAGCCTTACCCATGATGAAAATGTTATTGCGATTGCACTATAGATCCCGATTAGGGCTTATCAGTGAAAACTCCTAATATAGGGTCATATTTAAAGAAATAATCTTTTATATTTTGATAAATAAAAAGCTGCTCATTATATAGTAAGTATAACCGCACATTCGCAGCCCATATGGATTCAACAAAAAAACATTTTAGGTAGGTCAAGCCAAACTATCTGATTGTCTAATATAAATTTATAGTATATGAGTCCAGGAACTCAAATGAAATTGCGACTGCGAGTCAAAACACGTGACTTTCCACACGGACAGGAAAATACGAATGCAATTCATTTGTTTTCCCTCGCCAGTGCATTCGCCCTAGCTGGCGAAATTTATGGAAATGTCAGGCGCGACTTAATAGAATGTAAATGCAACGGCTGCCACTACCAAGTGCGAGGTCATGTCTATATGTATCCATCTACAATATATACTTAGCTTGTCATACCATACATATTATATGCATATGAGTATACATGGAATGGAAACTTTAATTCCAAATCGAGGTGCAGTTTCTGTGTCTGTTTAGTAGAGAAATGTGAGCTCGATTTTAAAAACATATTTTGAAATTCTATAACAGAATAGGGTTTCGTACTGTACTATTGTAAGTTGCTCTTTTATCTTTGTACATATTATAAGTATGAAGTATAGGAGGTGAAGTGTTATAAAGTTTATTATTTAATATGATTCCATGGTTGTTTGCTTTAATTTCAATTTGTACAGCTGAAGCCCAACAATGTTAAAACTTTTTTAAAGGGTTCATTGTACTTTATGCCCTGCTTTTGATTGTCTTTGATTGCCAACTGAGATCACATATGGGACACATCAATCACAGCACGCATATCAACAATAAAGCTAGAAAACAACAACGACTTAAGTGGAAATAAACGTCTACTTAATAAAAGTGGCGCATAATTATCTTTTCAAAATAATATAAAATTTAATTAACGAATTTTAAACATAAAGGTATAATTTCGAAATTCTGTTTATTATTTGCGAAGCTCTATAAATCTGATATAATATAAATATTACATTGATTGGTTTTGTCCGCTCGGTCTTTTGCATTATATTTTCTTTCGAATTAATTGGTCTTTAGGGTAACCAATTTTATACAGAGATCTCGTGGAATATAATGCATTTTTGGGTTCCTTCAATCACAATATTATAGCGCATTATAAAAAACAATACCAGATTTGGCTGAGATATACTATTTAAAATAATGAGGGTATATATATGGTTTTTAAGAGTAATACTGGTAATACTTTTCTAACTGACCTGATGCTCCAGACTTGGTAAAAACTTTCTACGATTTTTCTAATCCATAATCTTCCTTCTACCTACAACGCGGGGTTTACAACACGATTTAAATAAGCTCGTAAAATATAGTTTAACAATAATTGAGGGCGTTCAGATGTGGTCATAATAATTTTCATACATCAGGAACTAAGTGCGACACTTCAATCATCACCAGTATACGTGTCTCATGTAAAACTTTCTTGATAAGGTGGCTTATAAAGCTCGCCAGTGCTTTCAACTGATAACAGATTGCTCCTGCAATCGAAAGCAGAGCATAAATTAATTTTTATTTAATATTAAGTGCTATCTGCATTCAAATTAGAACAAACTACACTTGAGACCACCTGCCGAGCTGTCGAGCACATCGCTTATCGTAGTGCCTTGCGAGGTGGAACCGACCACAGATAAGACTATTTATAGGAATCCGAGTACATAGTTGGAAATGCTTTGGGATTCGAGCGCATGTTTTCCCATAAATGCGCAGTTTCAACATGGGGCAGAGGCAGTGACCAGTCATGTGTGAGACATACTCGTACAAACATTTTGATTTAATTTGCATTTCAATTGGTGTTGTTGCTGTTGCTCAACGAGCGGTGAAAAGAAACAAATAAAAACCGTCTAACTATTTATGTAGCCAGCGGTCCTTCACATTAAAAATGCGCACAAACAGATTTTGAAAAAGAATTTATAAAATTGTATTACTTGATTAATCTTGCAAATGTTTTCAAAAACATTACCATAGATCCCAAAATATGAGTAATATTTGCAGTAATTACATATGTCTTGTTTTATTTTGAAGTAAATTTTTAAACTAGTTCTGAACCGCAATAAATCACAGAATTTGTAAGCTCCTAACCATCGATCGTTATACAAGATTCAAAAGCTACAGCTATTCTTGTCGACACAACCCACTATGAAACTGGTTTCAAGTTCAAAGCATGTTATGTATTATTTATACTTCATTCTAAAGTTTATATTACAACTTTTTAACTACATAAATAAAATACTACATAACCCCTTTTCTAACTCATGGCAAGTCGATGTTTCATTGCTTTAAGCCACTGTTTTGGAATCGTTTCACAAACATTAAATAAAACTCTTTCCTTAAAACAAATATGTGCTTAAAAAGAAGAAAGATTGGAAAAATATTACTTGTATACTCGTATTTTGGTTTTATATTAAAAAAAAAAAATGAACACTGGTTCTGTGGACTGGTTCCTTGAAAAAGAAATGCTAAATAGATTTAGCAATTTATAAATCATCACTGATAACAAATCTATTAATAAACACATAAATAAATGACCCAAAAATTTGTCATTTTTTCACACAATACCAATTAAGGTGAGCGTTCGACATATTTTTATGCTTGAATTTAAAAATTGAGAGGTCTTAATTAAATATAAATAAACTTTTAGTGAGAAAATTAAATACATTTATAATAAGAATTATGTAGGTACGAGTATAACACAAATTGTTAAGTTAAATTTTGCTTTATCTATCGCTTTATTAATATTTATTCTTATATACTCGGTACACTCACCCAATAGTGTTTTAGACATCATGTTAGTTCCTATATACAGATCAGCAGTTGTTTTATGTAAATAGTGTTCGTTGCGTTGCTCTTAAACGTTTTATTAAGCTTCCCCTTCCTGATTATTATTGTTATTTTTTACAGTTTCTGTTTTGCACTTTCGCCTACGAACTACAATACTACGAGTATATATATATGTATGTAGATGTGTATGTTCTAGAGCATTTAGTTTCCCGCCGATTTAATCGTATTTGTGGAGTCTAAAGCGCGTCCGCGCTTTACGAAGACAGCAACGCAACTGGGCTGAGCAAATAAGTGATAATGCCGGCTAGGCTCGGTTCGGTGTTATGGCGGTCGTCTGTAGTCGCCGGTGCTCGAAAGTCGAGTCGCGTCACGCTGTAGACCCATGGGTACTCAGGCTGGCTATGAAAGAGAGTGATGTTTGCCGGGAAAGAGAGAGTGGAGCATAAGCTTGCAGTGTCAAGGTTATCTCTCCTATCTTTACAACTACGTATCATAATGTATGTATGGGTTTGTACACATACTATACATACCAGTATATGGGCACTGAAAACACTTTTACTTTTACCGCTCGCCTTCTTGATAGTGAGAATGGTGCTTTGAATAATAATAAAATATTAAATGTAATACTTTTAGGCAGTTAAGTTAACTGAAATTTACCCATCGCAATAGAGATTCCTAATCAGCTCCGAAAACTGATATCATACGACTACAATCTTGTAGAACCGCTCTATGGTAACCAATATACAATACATATCTAGATCCAAAAGAACTACATATTTAATTTATTAACAATTTTAAAGTGAATGGAAAAGAATTTAAGGCGCTTTTCTCTTTTGCAATTTAGTAAATCTTTTATCTTGATGATCTGTCGTATTATCTCCAGAGAGATTTAACTCAAAATACTGGCGTCGATTAAATTGGATGACGGGCTGACAAATTACAATTTAATTCTGCAAAATATTAATAGGTATTTGTAGAATTGAATTATAGAAAAAATAATTTATTGTATAAGGTATTATAGTAAAATATGCATTAAGGCCCATACTATATACAGAAATTGGGTCGACAAGATGATATCTAGACTGAATAGCAAACAATTTGGTAGGGGTTCAAATCGTTAGTTATCAGCTTCAAAATATTCGATTCGAAAAATTAAATTATTCAATTCTATATCAAAGAGTGGCAAAAGTGTGATTAGTTCGATAATTCTGAAACTAAGGCCAACAATTTTTTTTTTATTTTTGGGTACGTTTTTCTAATTTGTTGTAGGACTGTTTCAATTCAGTTTCGGTTTTATTAGAATAAATCGACATTCATTTATTTAATGAATAATTAGTGAGATTCAAATACAAATAAGAATGGAAAACTAAAGTCGAGCGAGACTGAAATTACAAAAGAATGCATGAATTAGAAAAGGTCTGTAATTTATGGATAAGATGTCTATACCGTTCTCATCTTTAAAAGGTGATGGTTTGTTTGGATTCCAGTTTTGAACACAGCACTTCCTCGACCTGACTGTAAATGATGTCCGTTACTGCTTAAATAATCCTTGTTAAAAGTCTAGTTTCTTATGAAAACCTCTTAATTGGACATCTGTCCCTGTCACTGTAATTGTGAAATTTTGTCTGCATCAGAAAATTGTTTCAAGTTAAAAATGTCAATTTTTAAGCCAAATTTTAATTGCTCAAATCGTTGCAACGATATAAAGCCGATGCATTGACAGTAGTAGACAGAGGCCATCCTGGACTCGTCAAAACTCTTAAGTGGTTGAATTTTGCTTTTGTTTTCTATCGGATCCAAAAGTTTTTTCTTTTACAGTTTGACAGCCACTGTAAATGAATTCCATTCGAAATGCGCCAGCATGGTGGATAGCCAGCCGTCTATTTGATTGCTCAGCCTATATTCCAGGAACCAGTTTAAAAAGCAGCGTCTACAGCTCAATGCGATGCCATGTACTCCTTGTATGTTGGCGTATTGGCAAGGAGCGTGTCGAAAGCTTCGAAAGTGAAAATGACGAACGTGTTTCAGAGACCAGATAGACATGTTTGTCTAATTAATAGGCTCGATCGTCTTTGCAGAATGTCAGACAAGTGGCATAAAATTGTGACGCACAGTTTTGAGTTCTCAATAATAGTTTATTTATTTACTTAAGCACGTGCGCAGGCTTTGTTGTTAACAAAAAATATACATACGAGTACATACATATCGTAGTTGGGTTTTCTGTATTTTTTTGGGTAGGCCTTTGCATAATGAGTTCGTTTTATTCTTTATTTGTGAGTTTTGCATTGCAAACTAAAGTTGAAAGTTTATTGCATATTTAAATGCAACTCTGTGCTCCTTGTTACATAATTTGCTTTGCATTAATTTACAACTAAATTTAGTTTTATCAACTTGTTTGTTTCTGTTGTTTTTATACATAATATAAATATGCTACAATTTATTATAGTAGGTATTATTTATAATTCAATCAACATCACGTTTTTGCGCTTTGATTCATCAACTTTTTTCGCTTTTTTTGCAAGAAATTACACAGAAATTTTGGCAGAATTTAAGAATTTGGAGCCAGTAGACAGAAGTACAAAAAGTTTGCAAAATAATAAATAATCGCTATGTGGCATTAGACAAAAATCATGTTACGATACAACAAATTATTGGACATATCAATTATAATACACTACCCCCCTCCCTCCATTGCATTTAGCATGTTACTTTAGTTGTGATTCGTCTTATTTTTGGATATTCAATTAAAATCGGGGTATAGGTCTGGACTTCTGGGCGTTCCCGTTGCCTGCGATTGCTGTGGATCGAGATTGGCTGCCATTTGTCGCAGGTTTTCGACACCGACTAGCAGTTGCCTGCAGGAATTTTGGAAAAATTTAGATTATTAAATTATTATTATGTTAGCCTAATAATTGCATTCATTGAAAGGTTAAAATAGTAAAATCTTAAATATTTTATGTTATGTTTATGTAATTTCTTAAAATAATATGCAATTTAAATTTTTAAATATTAAATAGCCTTAGAATACCAGCTATATCGTTTATTGCAGGTAAACAATAAATTCATATTTGACTACGTAAATATATAGATTGATTGTTTTGTTAGGTTTTTTAAGTTAAAAGAAAAACATTTTTTTAATAATTTTTTTTTAGTCTGAAATTATATTTACAGGAAATCCAAAATTTTGGTAACGAAAAAAAAAACACCAGAAAACAGGTTTATTTTTTAATTTATAATTAAAAGTGACGAAACAATTTTTTATTAAAAAGGAGTTATTATTGTTGTCTTACCAGAGTTTTAAAACTTATGCTTACCTCAAATTCTGTTCTGCATTGTCTGCGGCGCGTAACAAATCTCGTGATAGTTGCTGAGGTCTGGACGGACGCGTTGGACAACTATTAACATTGCCACTGCTACCGGGCGTTAGAACCGAGGCGGCTACACGTTCACAATTGCCACCCACGGCCCCATCGGAGCTACCATCGCGAGAGCGACGCAGATCCCCCAATTCCACCTGATCAGGATGGCAATAAAAGAGGAGAGTATGTATAACATAAATAGTTAAACAAATGTGTACAGCCAAACAAATTAATTAACAATTAAATATTGTATCTAATGATCCCGTATCGAATTCAAAGCAGTATACGAGGTTTTGTTAATACGATTAATTGAGTTAGGGAACTGTAGTTTGTTAATTTAAATTGATTGAGCCACTCTTACCATCAACTGTGCCACCTGGCGCTGAAGTCGTTGCGTCGTAAGTGCATTGGATGTCGCCGCCAGCGATTCACGCCTTCGCGACTCCTCCGTCAGTAGCAGCAGTTGCTGCTCCAAGTCGAGGGCACGCCGCGTCTGCGCGCTCAATTCCACTCGGGTTTCTTGCAGCTCCCGTTGCAGTCGCTCATTCTCCTGACGCATTGTCGACAGCTGCAGTGTACCTGCCGCATCCTGTGGTGGCGAATCTATTGAATTCGAGGGCAGTCCAATGGCCACATCGGCCAGCCGCTGGGAGGAGTGTATTATGGGCCCGTCTGAGAGAAAATCGGGCAGCATTTTGACACCGCCGGCAGCGCATTCTACAGTCGACAGCGAGGGTGCACATGGCAAGCCAGCCGCAGCGGCAGCAGCGGCGGCTGCATTGGGTAGTAGACCACCACAGCCACCAATTGCGCCGGCTGCTGCCTCATCGTTACCTCCGAGCGGTGAATTGGGGGGCGAGCTAAGATGTGCATCATGACCGCCACCACCACACCAAGAATCTGGTAAATGATCCTGCACAAAGTCGGGCAGGGCAGCTGATGAGGCCGTAGGCAGCGGATAGTCTGTAGACAAGCCAGCCCCGCCGCTGGGTAGTGCCCGATTTGCCGCTGAATCCAGCGGCAAATCAAGCTTCATTTTATCGGGAGCATTAAGAACCAATCGATTGGGACGCATACCGCGATTTCCACGACGAGGCGAGGCAGCGACCGTCGCTTGTGGCGGCATATCGTAACTGGAATATGAGCGCGGTACATAGCGTGATGCAGATGTGGACGCGTGCAAATTTGAATCGGCAGACGGGAATATGTCTGAAGGTAAGAAATATTACGTGATAATCCCAAATAGCAACGAATAAACTGAAACTCACCATCATGCCTTCGCTCGTGCAAATTCGGTTCAGCCGTGGGAAATATGTCTAAAAATTAGTTAAGCATCAATATGGAATGGACATGTGGGCATTGTTTTGGGTGCGTTTCTTATTCAACTCACCATCGTGTCCGCGATCGTCATACAGTCGATTACTTCGGACCTGTGCCAAGCCTACCCGATCATCATCGTCATCATCCAGCACCACATCATCTACATGGTTATGCTCCAGCCGAAAATCAGCACGCAAGCGGTTACAACTGCTGCTACTGTTGCTGCCACCACAGGCTGCATACTCAGCCAGACTCGCCTGCGAGTCAAACGAGCTGAAGCGTGGCGAACGTTTCATTTTGGATGACGCACTGCTGCCATTTATATCAGGCTGCATCAGGGAGGCCGAAGCCGATTGCGGGACTTTGGGTCGGGCGCCCGTTGATGTCTGCATGGGATTTGTGCTGCTGCTGCTCGCTGTTGTCGTAGCTGCCACAGCGTCCAGTGAGGTGACAGTCGTCGAGGGAGCTGTGACTGTGCCGCTGCTGTTGAGAAAGTGTTTAAATGAAAACGACGATGAGCCACCGCCACCACCACTTGCTGCTGTTGATGTTGGAGCCGGCAAAGCCTGTGCCGCCGCTGTCGCCACCGACCCCGTTGCTGTTGTGGCGCGTGTGCTGTTGTAGTCGCCATAGCCACCTTCACGACTGCCATTAAACAATAGATCGGCCACCAAGTCATTTATATTGCCGCGGGCCAATGTTGCCGTCTCATTTCGCTTCCCATCGTCACAGACGCCGCCGTCACCTCCGCTAATGTTTGGGAGGCATTCGCTCTGTTGTTGTTGTTGCTCTGCCGCGCCAGCATCATCTGCATTGCTGTTGTTACCATTGGCCATTTAAACTATAATAGAAATTGCAACAACCACTTTACTACTGCGCTATTTGTGTGTGTTCCTTTCTTTTCACTGGATTGCGTATTGTTGCTCTTGCTAGAGCAAAAGCATCGATAAAACGCGTTAAAAAATACCAAAAACGGTCACCTGGCTGCTCAACAAGGGGTAGCACTGGCCATTTGCCTGCGAGTTATCGATTACACGGTTACAGTTAATCAGCACCTCATCGTATAGGAAAGCTGGTAAACAAACGCGCAGATCTGAAATAAATAATATCGAATAAACGGCGTGTGTGCCAAATAGTGCATTTAAATGCTTTTGCGTGTCATGTCTGTGTGCGTGTTGTGCAGTATTGTTTATGCAATTGCATAAATGCAATAAAAAGCGAAAGGCAATTAAAAAACAACGCCGCCGCCTCCTCGCCGCGTAAGCAGCAGCGCTGCCATACAAAGTATAAATAATAAAACATAAAAGTGAACGGCAGCAACAACAATAACAACAACAATACAACAGCGCTAGTGAAAAGTGTCGCAGAGTTGATTGTTTTTTTTCTTTCTGTTATTTATTGGGTGGGCAGCAAGGGCGACGGCGGCGCAAAGAAAGTGGAAAATTCTGCGTAGCAAACAAACCGGTCGCGTGCGCTGCGTCGACAGCGACGCTGTGAATATATACAGAAAACTTGGAATGCAAAAGACAACGAAAAAGTTGTGGACAACAGCAATAACAACAACAACAACAACAAAAGCCGAAACAAAACGCATTTAAATTGGTAAAGACGGCAGAAAATTTTCGCTGACCACACAGTAAACGCAAAAAGCGGCCATATGCTGCATCGGCGGGGGTGACAGCGCGCTTACGTGTGTTTTTGTGTGTGTGTGTGCGTCTGATGCAAAGGTGGTGAGCGTGCACGGGTCGCGTTACTGTAAATTGCCGCCGCACCATGGTGTGAGTGCTGTTCCATTTTTGATTGCTTTTTTTTATAACGCACTGTCCTGATTTTTGCGCATCTGGGTTGACAAAGAATTACAACAGCAAAGACCATTTATTTATTTAAATTATGGGTTCATTCTTGCCCAGAGGGGCATAGACATAGAATACTGCATGGAGCAGCGACAGACAGGTAAGCACTATTGGTTGGGCCAAGCCCAAACCCTTAACATGCTCCAATTAGAAAACGACAGCGGCGGCGAAAGCAGATTTGTGTCTTGGCTGTCTTTTGGATTGCATTGCAGGGGTGTTTTTTGTTGTTTGTTTTGTTGTTGTTGTTGTCTTCGGCCTCGTTTATTGACTTGTCTAACGCCTCTGCCCTCTGACCATCAGGCCACATACATAAGCGCACCTGCAGCGCCCATCCTTCGTTCTGATTCCCCCTTTCCCACTTCCCCATTTCTGTTGAAAATCAATACAAACATAAGTACCAATGCACGCATGTTAATATAAGCAGATAATAATCTTATGTTATCTACAAGTTATCTGTCACTGTTGCATACGAATGTAAGCATAAAGAATATGTATAGCAAAAGTGTCAGTCTCCAATAAAACTCTAAAGCGAACAGACGCACGGCGGTCCGCGACTATTGTCTTTTACTTTACTCCTACTGAGCCCTTCCCTTTTCAGCGAATATATAATCTATTCAATAGGTTATGGGCCCAGGGCATATAGGCTCATAGGAGAAGTTCAAAGTATTGTGAAATAGTAATCGTTTGGTGACTCAAGAAATATAACATTTAAAAAATGAGTGCGCTATATCAAATAGACAAATTGGAAGAGCATAACTATGACTCATGGAGCATACAGATGCGATCTGTCTTAGTGCACGCGGAATTGTGGAGTGTGGCATCAGGTGCTGAACCTAGTAATACTGAGAGTTCAAGGCCAAAAGATGAAAAGGCATTAGCAATTATAACGCTAAGTGTAAAAGCTTCACAATTGGGCTTCATTAAAAATTGCAACACTTCGTACGAGGCATGGAAAAAGTTAAAGGACGTTCATCAGCCGAGTGGACCTGTACGGAAAGTGTCGCTGTACAAGAAATTGCTAGGCAAACGCATGTTTCAAGGCCAAAGCATTTCAAGTTACATACACGAATTTAACGAAATTCTGGATGGTTTGTGTACAGTTGGCATCGAATTAAATGATGAGTTAAAAACAATCGTGTTGTTGTCAAGCTTGCCCGAACCATACGAAAATTTTGTCGTCGCCATTGAGACGCGTGACAATTTACCGTCATTTGATGTGTTATGTATCAAGCTGATGGAAGAGGGAGAGCGCAGAGGCAATGCAGATGGAGAGAGCGAGAATGCAAGAGCATTTATAGCTACGCAGCAGATCGTCGCGCATTCCAAAGCGAATTCAAAAAGGAATTCAAAAATCGTCGTTTGCTACAACTGCGGCGAAAAAGGGCACTACAAGGCACAGTGCAAGCGTGAGAAAATTCGCGGTGAAGGGAAAAAGCAATCGACAAAGAAAGAGATGGAAAAGCAGAGCAGCTTGTTAAATGCGTTGGACGTTGGAAAGATAGAGAACAACATGTGGTGTCTGGACAGCGGAGCAACAAGCCATATGTGTTGCGATAAGACGTTATTTTCAAAATTTATTGCGCACACTGAAATGATCGGTTTAGCTGACGCTGGTTTCCTGAAGGCCGAAGGCAGAGGAGAGGTGAAGTTACAGACAGAACTTTGTACCTTGGTGTTGTCAGATGTACTGTATGTACCGAAAATGAATGGCAACTTTATGTCCGTCAGCCGGTCAGTGCAAAAGAACAATGTTATACATTTTGGGCCACATTTTGCTAAAGTTATACAAAACGGCGAGTGTATACTGAAAGCGAATAAAGTTGGGAACCTTTATATGTTTCAAGGCAAACAAAATAGGTGTTATTCCGCAACTGAATCAGATGGTACATTGTGGCATAAGCGTTATGGCCATTTAAATTTTACCAGTCTGAAGGAAGTGATCAGCAAAGAGCTAGTGCGTGGTATTGGAAAGGTTGTTTTCCCAGACAACTTGAATTGCAAAACGTGTATGCTAAGCAAAATACATGTACAGCCATTCCCAAAGGTAAGCACTAACCGTGCCGAAGAGCTGTTGGAACTGGTTCATGCTGATGTATGCGGCCCATTCGACACGAAGTCACTTGCTGGATCCAAATACTTTCTGACCTTCATCGATGACAAGTCCAGGCGTATATTTGTTTATTTTTTGCGGAAGAAAGATGAAGTGTTCAGTAAGTTCGTCGAATTTAAAAACTTGGTTGAACGGCAAACAGATAAAAAGCTCAAATGTATTCGAACCGACAATGGAGGCGAGTTTGTCAACACAACATTCAACGGTTTCCTGAAACACCATGGTATTGCAAGGCAATTGACCGTGGCTTATACTCCGCAGCAGAACGGCGTGGCGGAAAGAGCAAACCGGACATTAACGGAGATGTCCAGATGCTTATTGGTGCAGTCGGGCCTAGGCGAGTCTTTGTGGGCCGAAGCAGTCAACACAGCAGTATACATAAGAAACAGATCACCTACCAGTGCACTGAACAACCTGACTCCAATGGAAGCGTGGACAGGTAAGAAACCCTGTGTTAGCCATCTAAAAGTTTTTGGTTCCATTGCAGTTGCACTTGCAAAGGGTCCCCGTAAAGGCAAATTCAAACCCAAAGGGCATGAGTACCGTATGGTTGGGTATTCGGTAGCAGCCAAAGGCTATCGGTTATACGACCCAGAGACGAGGACGATTGTCGAAAAACGAGACATTCTATTTGATGAGCGTTGTGGTGGTCATACCAATGAAGATACCGTTACGGTAGATTTTCCTGCATGCGAGGTTCAAGAGCATGTCACTCACACGGATGGTGACAGAAGCATCGACGACGATGACAGTGAGCACAGTTCTGACGACAGCAGCTCCAACGCATATGAGAGTGCAGTCGAAAAAGAAGACTCTGACGAGGATACTGTGAAGATTGGGCCAGGCCGGCCTAAAATTGTTCGAAATGGTAAACCTGGTCGTCCAAGAAAGCAATACAATGTGCTTGGAGCATTGGTTGCTAGTGACGTAATGGTTCCGACATCCTATGATCAGGCCGTTGGTAGCACACATGCAGTATTCTGGCAAGAGGCGATGCAAAAGGAATATCAGGCACTACAATCAAACGAAACCTGGCAGATGGCTGATTTACCAAAAGATCAGCGAGCAGTTGGTTGCAAGTGGGTATACAGCCTGAAACGTGACTCTGATGGAAAAGTCGAACGTTTCAAGGCACGACTCGTTGCTAAAGGGTGCTCCCAGAAGTATGGCGTGAACTATGTAGAGACGTTCTCACCCGTTTGCAGATTGGAAACCGTGCGGTTTATTTTGGCGTTAGCAGCGGAATTGAAGCTGTACCTTCACCAGATAGATGTGTGTACCGCCTATTTGAATAGCGACCTGCATGAAACTGTTTATATGAAGCAGCCACAGGGATACACAGATCCCAATAATCCAAGTAAGGCTTTATTGCTTAAAAAGGCAATATATGGATTGAAGCAGTCGGGGCGCGAGTGGAACTCCAAGCTCGATTGTGTACTACAAGGCATAGATTTTGTAGCATGTGAAAATGAACCGTGTCTTTACAAAAGGAACGGAAGAGGTGACTTATCATTAATCCTTGTTTATGTTGATGATATAATTATAGCATGCCGATCAAAAGAGGACTTGGCCAACATCAAGTCAGCCATTACAACATCGTTTGAATGTGTTGACAAGGGAGAGCTGCATTTGTTCCTTGGCATGGAAGTGCAGCGCGACGGTGAGCTTGGCGAAATTTCGCTAAGCAATTCGCAATACATCAAAGACATATTGCGTGAACATGGATGCGAGACCTGTAGACCTACAGCGACCCCACTGGATGCTGGTTTCCAAGTGATATGTACCAGCGAGCATTGTCAAAAGGTTGACATTGCATCCTACCAGTCTTCAATTGGCGAGTTAATGTGGCTGGCGCTTACAACAAGGCCAGACATATTGCATTCCGTTGCCAAGTTAGCTCAACGGAATCAAGATCCGCATGCAGAGCACCTAGTGGGTGTAAAACATGTGCTTCGATACCTGGCGTCAACTGTGGACCTGAAGTTGCACTACAAAGAGTGTGGACAACCCCTTACCGGCTATGTGGATGCAGACTGGGGTGGCGACCGCATCGATCGCAAGTCGTATACTGGCTATGTATACTACTTGGCTGGAGGACCCATATCCTGGCGATCTGAAAAGCAACGCAGCGTGGCACTTAGCAGCACGGAGGCGGAGTATATGGCTCTTTCAACTGCGTGTAAGGAGGCCATATACCTACGGCGTCTTATAGTGGAGATTGGCTGCGGTGACTCGAGTACTCCAACTATTCTTCATGGCGATAATTTAAGTGCTCAACAATTAGCTAAGAATCCTGTACACCATGAAAGAACAAAGCATATTGATATTAGATATCATTTTGCAAGACAGGTTGTAAACGAAGAACAAATTGTTTTACAGTATACATCAACCAATGAAATGATAGCTGATATTTTAACGAAAAATCTCCCTAAAGCGAAGCATGTTCATTTTACAAAGCTGTTAAATTTGATTTGAAAATTTTTGTAAAACATGTTTGCATTGAGGAAGGGTGTTGAAAATCAATACAAACATAAGTACCAATGCACGCATGTTAATATAAGCAGATAATAATCTTATGTTATCTACAAGTTATCTGTCACTGTTGCATACGAATGTAAGCATAAAGAATATGTATAGCAAAAGTGTCAGTCTCCAATAAAACTCTAAAGCGAACAGACGCACGGCGGTCCGCGACTATTGTCTTTTACTTTACTCCTACTGAGCCCTTCCCTTTTCAGCGAATATATAATCTATTCAATAATTTCAAATCGACCTGGCTTCGTTGCTGCTTTTGCCTCTTCATTTGTATACAAATGATAGTGCAATTGTTATTGTTGTTGTTGTATTCACTAGCATGCCCAGCCATTTGTGCACACAGTGTAAACGAACGATATAAATATAGACCTGAATTATTTTCTTTTAGCATTCACACTCAAATTGATTTCTGGCTGTGGTCTGTGGTTAATAATTTTCCCACCCTTCTTCCCGCTCCCTTGTGCATTGAATCATGCAATGTGGTAAGAAAAGTGAAAATGTACCATGCCTTGAAGATTGAGAAGCCCGAACCCCATCATCTACGTTTCTTGTCGTCTTCGTAATTCAATTAACGTTCAGTTCATTCGCTATGTGGCCATTTGTTGGCACCCCGTTTTAGTATCGTATTATGTGTTAATTAAAATTTGTAGTTTTTCTTTTAATTTGCATTGTAAATTTGTGCTATGGCCTGTGATAAGTCGGTGCGCTTCAATAATTTCCATATCAAAGCCGTACCCACTAGTCAACATTATCGCTTATGTGCGGTGGTGTAAGTGCTTTACCTGATTTCAATTGGAAGATATCTATGTATTACATATATGAGCATACACCAATGCTCAAAATTATAAGAACCCTTCAATTTAAGGGTCGTGGTAATTGTGCTAAATGTTCTTCCTTTCAGTTGAAGCATATCTAACCTTTTTAAAAAACTATTTTAAATAATTGGATGTCTTGAAGATATATTTTATTGCCTACAACAATAAGTTTTATTACTCTATGCTCTGTAACTACTCAAAACTACCACAAAAATATTTATTTTTGCTTTCCACCTATTTTCACAAAATAAATCCAAATTCTGTATAATTGCTTTGTTACTGTTTATTTATATTAGAAGAGTGTTGTACTGAAACCCGCGAATCCAAATAATACATCACCCAATGTGGAAGCTTACAATTTTTCAAGACACTTGTCCCAAATTGCACGAATTTGGGAATTCCGTTTTAGGAAATCTGTAAAAGTAAGTCAAGTGAAAGAAATAGGTTATCAAAAAATTTTAGATTTTATAAACAGATCACCAAACAGATTTTTCCAAAAATTGTTTTTATATGAAATATTTTTTACAAACATATGTATGTATGTGTATGATCGTTTGTTTCGGTAAATGTTATATTCTATATTTTTTGTTAATATTGACTAGACCTTTATATTGAGCAAATATTAAACTTATAATATTATTCTTGGTAATTAATCTGTTGTTTTTATGTTTTCCAATATTTTCAAATATTTCTTGTGAACAACTAAAACATTTCAAAAACCCATTAATAGGAGAAGGCTTATAACGATAGATGGAAATCAAAAGGCCCTGGATGTGTACAAATATTTTATATAATTATAAAATTAATTCGTCAATGAATTCATTAAAGAAAACTTTCACAATTCGCATTCAAATATTTTACAATCTCTTAGTTTTTAAACCATAAACAACTTTTTTAAAAGCCCTACCACGTTTTTAAATATTACTGGTAATAATCTACCTAAAAATAGAGGAAGAATCTGTTTCAGCCTTAGTTAGAGGCGGACCTCAATTGCACTTTAATATCATAAATAATTAGAAAGTCTAGTACGATTACTATGGAAATATATTACCGTGGATAATGTTTTAAGCTTTTCAGGTGAAATAATTTAAAGAAAATTAAGTAAAGAAATTTTCTCAGAATCTGATAAAGTTGAATTTGAAGCATGTATATTCTATTTCGGCCGTAGGTGTATAAGTATCTATGTTGGTAGGTGTCTGTGAGTGTCTGCTACGTGATTAAGTGACTGAGCACTAATCAATAAAGTCGACTGTTTTCTATGAACTCGTTCATGGCAATTGTGCAGTTTACATTTTGCAATTTCAAGCTCAATTTTTCGAAATTTCCACTTCGATGCCAGTTTTTCGAGATGTGTTCAATGGGACGAAAAAAGGTCTTTGGTATAGTCACTGTCAAAATAGACCTACGCTCAAGGTAGTACGGATATATAGGCGCACCTACATACTAAGTTTGGTTAGTGTTGGTACGGCTGTTTCCGGGTTCCAGGTTTGATCATGCTGGAATGGTTTCTTTCTTCCTTTTGTACACATTTGCAAACCCTACCCGTACCTTTCGGTGCAGTGAAAGGAGTTTCTGCAGATCTAGCAAAATTCCCAAAACTTAAACCAATAATTATGGTGCTCTGATTTTTAATGGTGTACGATTTTTGCTGTTTTAATATTCAAAAATTCAATTTTGCCTCGAAGCATTAAACTAACTCAAGCACTAAAAGAAAATGTTTACACTGATAAAAAAGTTGCATAGTACAGATGAATATTTTTATTTTAAATTTAATGTTTTACTACTATATTTCATATTCAAATCAAATATTAACATCGTAAATTTTACTAAAAACATATTCAATTAGTAATTTTAATATGAATAAAATGAAATATAATAATATTATCCATACTCAGAGCAAGTTTAATATTAACCATCATTATTTCATATACATATTCTCATATAACGATCAATGGAAAAATCACTTTTTTGTTTTCTAAGTAATGTTGGGATTTATGAGTTTTATATAATTTATAGTATTCCGATTATTTGTTGTATTTCTTTATGGGCACCTTAATGTTATTTTTTTTCGACTTCAAAATGTATGTATATAGTATATTACCGTTGCACTACAGGCTAGGATTTCGACTAGTCGTTCGCACTAATGGCTCATTGTACGTTGTTGTTGAGGTATTGAGTTACAAACTTTAATTACCTGCCTAGTTCCTATCCAAGTTTCTGTGCATTTGTTATTCAGCAGGCCATACCCCCTGTTGTCGTAAAGCTTACTAATTGGAGTGTATTTTGGATAAACACGACTTTAATATTGGTATATATTTTTCTCTTGCTGTATCTACAGGGCAGATTGTACAAAAGTCAAATGCTTAGCAAGAAGAGGAAGGAGTCAACAATTGGTCCAAACGACGCTTAGATGCGTTAGATTCATGTCAAATGTCGTCGTCGAAAAACGGCGGCTTAACTAGTGCCACAAATGGCCGCAGTGGCAGCACTGGCAGCGCCAACATTAATCTCAAAATCAAGTCAATAGCAGGAACAGCATTAGCAGTATCAGTTTCATCATCATCCGCAGCAACAACTGGAACAACAGCAGCAACGACAACGACGTCAATTGGTCTTAAATCAGCGGCAATTGGTACAGTTGGCAATGCCGCACACAAAACACTGCCCGAGCTGAAGACACAGCGCAGCAACAGCAACACCAACAGCGACAACAACAGTGGGAGCAATCTAGTGAAAACTTTGGCCATCCATAGACGCGACAACTCAAATGCGGAGAAGGAAAAGGAAAGAAAACTGCACTATTTCCCGCCACAAACGATGGCTCTTGCACCTGCTATCCCACAAGAGTCCAACGATGCCAACTCAGACTATTTGGCCTACTACGATGGAACTTTGTGCGCGGGATCGCTGGAGACGCTCATTAAGCACATGGTGCCCACACATGAATATTATCCAGATCATAACTATTTGTTCGCTTTTCTGTTGAGCTCTCGCCTTTTCATACGGCCACATGAATTGCTCGCCCATATCTCACAAACTTGGGAGCTGCAGCAGCAGCAACATCAGCAAAATGCTGGCGATGTAGTCGACGACGCTGGTCACGGACACGGCCATTATGCTGTACAATCACTGGCGCTTGGGCAGCACATCATCAGCAACTCTGCATCTCCATTAACGCAACGCAAGGCTACAACGACAGTCACAGCAACAGCAACGAACTCGACAGCAACTGCTGTGGAACTGGAACCCAAGCCGCAGCAACGTACAGCCACTCAACGTTCGGCACAGAATTGTATACGTCTGCTATCTGAATGGATTGAGATATTTCCTTATGATTTCCGGGATGAACGATTGATGCAGCAGGTGCGAATATTGGCGCGCAAGTGCGTCTATATTGACAACTCATTGGGGAAGCAGGTATCACGGATATTGCAATTGTTGGTAGGGCGTCTCACAACCCTAGAGCAGTACGAGGAGTTTCTGCAGACGCTAAACGCTGAGGCAAACGCCAACGATCAGTTACCTGCAACTAACAACTCCCAGCAGCAGCTTTATCAACAGCAACATCTTCATCACCATCATCATCATCAGCTCCATTTGCACAATCCCTTTCAAACATTTTTAGGTAGCTCACATGCCAATGGCGGGAACTCTTCAGTCGCCAGTGGTGGCATATCAGCTTCCACAGGCACAGCAGCGAGTGGCAACAGCAATGCAAACTCTAGTGGCAACAATTCACCTTTGACTACACCACAGCCTTGTGATGTCTTTGGAATTATGGATATTTGCGCTAGCTGTGCGCATTTGGCTCACCAATTGACGGCCATTGAGTTGGAGCGTTTATCGCACATCGGGCCGGAGGAGTTTGTGCAGGCATTTGCAAAGGATTATCAGCAAGTTAAGTCGGTGACAGCCGATGCTGGTGGTAGTGGGAGCGCCAGTTCGTTGAACGATTTGAAGAAAACGCGCAATTTGGAATCATATGTGCAATGGTTCAATCGTTTAAGCTATTTGACAGCCAGCGAAATTGTCAAGGTGGGTATTAGATACACATACACATACAAATATACATATGTACGTATTACCAAAAAAAATATAGAGAAAAGGAGTTAAGCTCAGATAAGCACTTCAATATAAATATCCTTCGACAGTTCAGTAAGTTTAATTTTAGTTAATTCCATAGAGAGAGAGAGGGAGGACACATCTATATTCGTCTGAATTATGTGAGCATATCAGTCTGACTTAATTAATGTTTAAAAGTATTTTGAACACAAACATCGTTTAACATACGCTTTGCTTAATATAATCTCTCAAGTACAATATTTTGCATTCGCCGAAAGCTTTTCTGCAGTTCACTTATTATCGTCCCCAAATATACTATCCACAAAGATAACAGTAACATGTACTTCCAGGTTATATTTTTTAAGGTACATATGTATATATAAAATTTTATATAATAATGAGAGTAAAGTGGATACATTTTCTCAATAAAATGTGGATTCTTCATACCCTAAAAGCACATAACATTTTATTTATTTATTTATTTATTTATAAAAAAATCAACAAATTTACTGTCAATAAATAATTGATAATATTAGAAAGTAAAATAAAGATATTTATAGTATTACATTATAAGTTAAACTTAAAAGATAAGAAAGCCTAAGGGAGAGCTATACAATGACGTCTATTAATGCCTCCGACACGTTGGGGGAATTTTATTTGCCAGTTGGCCAGCTATGCCCCGATTCACAGCCAAATGTGGTCAGAGACATTATAGACCTAACAAACTAAACAAATAGCAAGTAGAAGAGAAGAATTAATTCTACTTAAGAACTAATTAGAAAAAGTAAGGTGTAGAAAGAGGAAGAGGAAAAAGAAAAAAATAAGAGGGAAAGAGAGATACAAAGACAGAGTTTGTAGTTTCCTTTGAAGAAGATGTTAAAAATTGTTATTTAGTAGAAAATGTTGTTCTTATTAAAAATCTCAATATAATCTGATGGAGAAATTTAAGGTTATCTGAAAAGCTGGGAATACAAAATATATATCATACTTGTATATAAAAAGGAGGTAATTCGAGTCCCCAAATGAGACAAATAAATTCTATGCAACAAGTGCTTTCCAAAAGTATTAATTGGAACTGGCATTAAGACAGAATTAAAGATTTATCTTTATATATTCTCTCTCAAACATATTCATTCATTATCATTATTATCTATAAACAGTATCCGAAGAAGAAGCAACGTGTACGCATTATTGAATATTGGATTGAGACAGCTCGCGAATGCTTCAACATTGGCAATTTCAATAGTCTGATGGCCATAATAGCAGGTCTAAATTTGGCACCAATAGGCAGACTAAAAAAGACGGTAAGCTCTACGGAGGTATCAAATTGAATGCTTGACATTACTAATTATTTTTATTTGTTTTGGGCAGTGGTCAAAGGTGCAATCAGCAAAATTCTCAGTGCTGGAACATCAAATGGATCCAACATCGAATTTCAATAGTTATCGGTCGACGCTTAAAGCTGCCATGTGGCGCTCAGAGGGCGCCACAGAAGAACGCGAACGTATAATCATTCCATTTTTTAGTTTATTTGTTAAGGACTTGTATTTTTTAAATGAAGGCTGCTCGAATCGGTAAATGATCATCTTTTAACATTATGAAAACAATATATTTTTATTTGCTAATATCGGTTATTATTTCAGCTTGCCCAACAATCATATCAACTTTGAGAAATGCTCACAACTCGCCAAACAAGTAATGGAGTTCAACGAATGGAAAAAAGTCACTTGCCCTTTTGAGAAATTGCCGAATGTTATTGCCTACTTGCAACACAATGCGGTGCTCAACGAAAATACATTGTCAATAGCCTCATTTGAGTGTGAACCGCCGGAGAACACCGAGGAGAAGGATCGCTATAAAACTGTGAAAGCCGAAACGAAGCAACAATTGCTACAGCAATTGCAGGAACAACAGCAGCAATAGTTGATTTTTAGCTATTTAGTTGTTAGCTACAGCTGTAGAGATTTTATTTAAGTTATGCTTAAGTGCTTGCCATGTTTACTTTCGATTTTTTATACATAAATATTTTGTATTCTAAGATTTGTTTCGTAAATATTTTCAAACTAGTACTTTTAGTTTTTGCAATAAGAGTACAATTTTAAGATAAGAAGCTTGCGCTGCAATGCTTAAAGCAAATGGCTTTTAAAGCAATTGCCTTATAAAGCATGTACTGGCATTTCAAATATTATCAGAACCATTCATAAAAAATAGCACATTAGGTGCTTCTTCTTTGAGAGGAAATAGAAACAGAGGGAATAGAGGAACGTTCAAGCTTCAATAAACTCTTTTTAAATTGTATATTTTTCTAAACTAAATTTAAAAAAAAGGTTTCTTTCTAAAACTATTCCTTCAATTTTATGAACTTTAAGCAGCTCAGACAAAACTATTTATTAACGCAATGCATCTCGATAATGTTGCCAGTAAATTATTATTGTAATAAGCATTAGCCAGAGCTAAACAAATGTATGTACTTAAAAGCATTTTGGGTGGGGCCGATAATTGAAAAAATATATAGCATTGGCCAAATGCAATTATAATCATAAGTATATATGCATTAAAATATGATCAATGTGCGCGCTATTTGTAAGACAACAGTATTTATATTGATATACATATACACAGACACATTTTTACATACATAATATTCTACATAGTTAAATTGAACCTCTTTTATTAACAAATGGTAAATGGAAATTATGTGGATCAATTTTGTGTTGCATTTTGGTCGTGTTTTGTCTCGAAGCTTAAACATTTAACAAGAACTTAGCAATGTGTACAACAATGCTGCCTACACATTCTTTATAAGAACAAAAAAGTATGACTTGTGCTAGTTACAATGATACTTTTCCCATTTACAATTTATCTTAATTGAAATAGGCCTAAGTATTTTAATATGATGTGCGAAATTGTGTGTATTGCATTACTGTTTAATTTAAAACATGAATTGTGGATGGAATGATATTAACTATAAAGGGACTAAACAACAAAACGAAGAAAATAAACTGCTTTCGAATACAAAAAACGTGTGCGAACAAAATGAACTGCGATGATTAACATAAGCTTGAATTTCTACAGGTAGGCCCGTAATAACTCGAAAGTACTTGTCAGGTTCTAGAGGACCGCTCAGTGGAGAAATTGCACGTACGAGAATAACTTTTGGGTTAATTAAGATATCCTAATCAAATTTCGTATTTATGGCTCCTATAAGTACCTCATTATAGCCTGTACCCAAAGGGTTAAAGGCTATATTAGTTTTGTGCGAATGTATGTAACACACAGAAGGAGGCGTGGCAGACCCCACAAAGTGAATATATATTATTGATCAGGATGGCAAATCGAGCCGATGTCAGCAACTATGTACAATAGCTAGGATAACCAAACTTGACATTCAGGTTCGCCTAAGCCCCAGGCAGATCGAGTTTGTGTTTTTTTTCTGATGTAAATTAAAATCGCGGTTGCCATCAGGGGTATTGTATTCGAGTTGCCATAATATACATATACTCGTTCATATCAAAACATTTACGGGAAAGCACACATTTCAATCCAAAGTGAAATCATTTCTAAAAATGAAAGTGTAACTACCTAATCAGCGAAGAAGATAAAGACATTAATTGATAAGAGTGCACTGATTACCCTGATTACTGTGGCAAAAAGTATATAAACGAAACGAATTCGTAGATATTTGAATTAGAGTGAGCTGGCGACTTGTGCGAAACAGTTTATTGAATTTAAAATTGTGGAAACAAGATACTTGATATTTGATACGGGGAAACATATGTTTATGAACCTCAAGTGCCTCAAGTGAAACGCAACTAAGTGAAGTGGTTGATATCTTATGATTTAAACGACTTGCCCATTAATTTTGTGTCTTTGGCTATCAAATCCGACCAAAAAGAATATATAAATACATACATATTACAACCTTCACTTATCATTACATAAGAAGGTGAGAACTGTACGCTTTCATATTAAATGGTTCTTTTTTAACTACTTATCGTAATGCCTATAGAATTTGGATTGGAAAGCGTTGATTAAAAAAATGACCGCATCAGGTCATTTTAGGCGTAGCAGACATAACAAAACTAATATATTCTTGATCAGTACGACAAAATGTGTCCACATAACCATGCCCGTCGGAATCCAGGTTTTTTCATGTCCGAGAAATGACGAGTTTGTATGCCTTTTACTCCGATAAAGAATTTATAAAATTTCAAAACAAAATTTCTAGTCAATTAGCTACATACATATATGTATGTATGTACATACATGGATATAGTGCAGTTCGGTTCACAAAAAAGGACAGATAACTCTTAGCAGCGATAAGAAATACGAACAGTACTTAATCTTCTCCCTTCTGTGATATCATCGAAAAAAAGGAAATAAAAGAAAAATCTTCTTTTACCATTTGCTTGAGCAGCAAATATATTTAAGGCTATAACTTCTTGTTAAATCGGTCTTTCATAGTGAAACTTGGCATACGGACACATAAATTCCAAGAATTACGGGAGTTATTATTTGCGTTGGAGAGGGGGGAGGGAGGGAAATTCGAAAATACACATTTTCTGCGTATCCATATAAGGCATCTTGGAAATATAAGCCCCTCCTTCTTCCTGTTACATTTTTCAGAGTATAACAAGTAGAAAAGCTAAAGTCGGGCAGAATAATTATACGTGTGTGTATGCAGTGACAACAGCTGCGGGCACTGATTGGTCATACATACAAATATGGCTATAACTTCCGGTTAAATCGGCCTATCATGATGAAACTTAGCATACAGACTCATAATCAATAACTGGGGGTATTTTCCGAATACATATTAATTACATATTAATGATTTAAGCTTAGCAAGATACCATTGTGGAATTATAATGACTAAAACTATAAATATTATATTTCATCCAGTGTTACTACTTCAGTTACGCGGCTATCATCTTGAAAAGAGAGAACCATGGCGAACGAGAAAATAAAAGAAGATTTTGAAATAATTATTAAGGAAGAACTTCATCGCTATGGTGAGATTGAAAAAGTGATGTCTGCCATTCAAGAAAAATATAAGAAAACCGAATTATCAAATATAGATAAAAATTATATTATTAAAAAATACATAAAATACTGTAAAGAATTTTGTCTAATCGAAGCACAAAATTTTATAAAAAATGTGAAAACGCACTCCGAACTACAATCTATAATGTCAAGCCCTGATACTCTCCTCCAACGCTTTGAGGATCTGAAGTTCTGTCGTCTGCTGATGCAAAATATTGATGAAAAGGATCTGACTATTTTTTTTAAAGAGCTTAAGAATGTATGCCTTCATTATATCGCTATCACAATGGAGGACGAAGGCAAGGTATTGGAGTTTTTTGAACGGCTAATTGATTTTTTAAGCGATTCAATAGAGCTATCACATTTTCTGGAGAATTCGAAGCTTAAAGAGTTCTGCAATGGGCATATAGATTTTCATGAACTAACTGACAATATAAAGACGCTGAAACTAAAGGATTCGGAAAGTAAATATGCACTATTAAATGAATCAATCCCACCGCTAGACGATAAAAAGGAATTCTTTCTTTTGGAATTCATGAAGAAGGAACTTATTGGATTTACAAGATCTGTTGAAATAAAAGTGACTACGGTTGATGGACGTTTAGCTCTTGAGCTCAAGGGCTTAAGTATTGTAGTCAGTAGGTATATTCCTAAGATAGAACAAATACTAAGTGAAAAACAACACATAGAAGAAATTCGTATTATTGCTGAGCACACTATCCACATTGATGTTAATATAGATTTCTGGCATGGAAAGAACATATTACTTATAGCAAAAAAGATAAGAGTCCATCGGGAAATTCATTGGAATGTCTCGGGGAAAGATAACGATCATAAGTATACTAATAATGCGGGCACAGACGAAGTTACTGGTAATGGCAATGATGGTGCGGATGGTTTTCCTGGCCAAAGTGGGGGTAACGTTTCAATTTATGCTCACAGCTTTGAAAATTCTGAACTTTTCTCCATCACTTCCAATGGTGGTAGGGGTAGTGATGGTCAAGATGGAGGAAATGGTAGGGATGGAAGAGATGGTAAATCCATAAAATTTTGCGAATTCAAAGAACAATTTCAACCAATAGCTTCCACAATAAGAGAAAGTTCAGATAACTTAAAACACACTATTGCGTTATTGAAAGCAGAAAGAAACCATGTAGAAATAGATATCGAGGAGTTTAGGCATAGATTCATTAATGTAATTACAGAATGCGGTAATGATGTGACATTTTCCTTCGCATATTATTTACCCTTCGTCCATAAGGAACAAACATTAATACTTTATAAAGGTGCCAAGGGACAGAGTGGAGGAAATGGTGGGGAATATGGTTTTGGGGGTGAAGGTGGCTTTGCTGGTGAGATAACAATTAAAGTATTTAATGAGAGTACATTGGATGTTGGTTTTGGAAAAACGACAAAGCATGGCGAAGATGGCAAAAAGGGAAGTGGTGGATTGTTTGGAAATTTTGGCAAAAATGGATGGGATGTTGGATATGTCGATTATGATAATTTTTTTTCAAATAGATGGCCCATATATTATGGCCGGGATGAGAACAGCACTCTATCTATAGAATACCATTCTGACAGTAGAAAGGACAATGTTTGGTGTCCGTATAAGGATAGGTTTGTTTCCATAAAATCATCTCCCCTTAAAAACAAGTTGAAAAAATTTGAAAAAAGAAAGAGAAGCAGCAAAACAAAAAGTGAGCGACAACAGCACTCGAAGGCAGTACGACAGAAAAGTATTTCAGAAGTTTCAGTTCAGTCCTCATATTCCCATATTTTAATGTCAGCTAATGAAAGCAAATTAATAGGTGTGCGTTCTGAATTAGAAAATATTAGGGAAAATGCATTACAGGAAATTGATCTGAGAGAGGAACAGAACATTCAACAGAAATTTCAGTTAAAAGTCACTCGTGTCGCTAGGTTTCCATCAAATAACTCGCACTCAAGGGACTATCAAAGCTCAGAACCTATTCAGATTCAAGACGTTTTTTC